TTGTATTGTCTCCTCAGTGCACATTGCCTCCATCCCTCATTTTCTGCGTCTTGGGCATCGGACTTCATCCGAATAAGCCAAAATGCTGTCCCAAAATGTGCTGCTCCAGCTGCTCCCGCTGGTGGCCTTCGTCAGCGGCTCGCCTGTCAAGAAGGCTCCCGCCGACTGCTTCACTAAAGGATGGACCAACAATCACCTACTGTCCTCAATGATGAAGCCGGCCTATTCGCAGACAGCCCAGCAGATCTGCAGTGCCGTCTTGCTCAAGACAAAGACTGTTGATGTCACCCCAACATCCACCTTTGATGTCACCGTCGTCACGACGGACTACACGGCAACCTCGTACGTTGACGCCTATGTCACGTCGACTAAGGTGCTCTCGTCTACGACTACATCCACACCGAAGCCAACCACGATCAACGTTCCTAACATTGTCGCCACGAGGACGCTGACTCGCACCCACACCACCGTGGATCATGTGGTCGATGCCGTTACCGTCACCACCGCGACTGATGTTGTTGATGTTACCTACTCAACTAAGATCGTTGACCTGACTACACACACGGATACCGTTTACACCGCCACTGTTATCAACACTGCTTATACCACAGATGCTACTCGTGTGGCCACTGTCACTACCTCGACCGCTACTGAGCTTAAGACAGTTGCTACTGCAGTTGCAACTGATGTTGTTTCCACTGAGATTGACACTGTCATGCAAACCACCACAGTCATCGATTCAACCTCGTGGAGCCCATTCACAGTCTACACGTCCACGGCCACCGTCTCGGACGCCGTCAGCACTTACACCGACCTGGTCGTGACCGCAACCGATGATATCACTAGCTACACGGGCACTAGCATTATCCCCACGACCGTAGCAACTGATGTTATCACCACTACTACCACAACCGGCTACACTACGGACTACACCGGTGTAAGCACCATCATCACAGTTGTTGGAACAAACACCTTCACCACTACCGTGCAGACCAACACAGAGACTGTTTACACCGGCACCAGTGTTGTCCTGACTGCCGTCGAAACCGACGCGGCAACCGTTACCACAAGCACCGGTTACGCTACCGTCTACACTGGCACCGACGTGATTCTCCAGCCTGTTGAGACTGACATTGCTACTGTCACCACTGGCACCGATGTTGTCACCATCACCTCCATGTACACCTCCTTGGAGACGCTTACCACTCTGGAGACTGTCGACGTGCCTACCCCCGTCTATACTCCCGTCACTTCCACCATGACCGTCTTTGACAAGCGATCTGTTAAGCGGAACCAGGAGTCTGTCTGGGTCGACACATATGGTATGGCCGCTGTGAAGAGTGCTTGCGGCTGCGTCATCGGTGCTGCTCCCACCACCACTGTGACTAAGGCTGAGCCTGCTGTTACCGTTACTCAGACCGTCTCCAAGACTGTTGACGCGGTGAAGCATCTTACCACCCATGTGACTGTCCAGGTCACATCCACCTCTGTTCTGACCAAGACTGCTAAGCAGGTTACCAAGTACAAGGCAGTTCCTATCACTTTCACTAGCACAGTTATTGTTGACGCTACCAAGACTGCCACATCCTTCAGCACCGTTGGTGTCGACAGGACTATCGTGGAGTCCATCGTTGCCACTAACACTGTGGATGTGGATGCCACTGACTTCCTGGCTATGACCAAGACCACTGTGATTGACAAGACGGCGACCGTTGTCACGGGTGTTGTTGCTACCGCCGAGGTCGATGTTACTGCCACTTCTACCTACGATGCCACTATCACCAAGAGCGTCACAGACGTTAAGGTTGTGTCCACGGACGTCGTTAAGAGCACCGAGGTTGATCTCGTTGCCACTGTTACTGCCAGCTACACGGCCACTGTAACGGATGGTGTCGTCACCACGGTTACCGAGTTCAAGGAGTTCTACACCACTGTGCCAGTTACGGCCACAAGCATTGATGACGTTGCAGTTGTTTCGGTTGATTATGCCGAGTCTTACACGACCATTCCTACAATTGCCACTGCTACTGATGATGTTACCGCCACCGCCACTGTGTTGAAGGAATCATTCAAGACGGTGCCGACCACAATCACGACCACTCGGGATGTCGACGTTACTAAGACTGCTTGGCTCGAGGCCTCCGTCACCGTTGCTACCACCGTCACATCAACATTGGATGTAGACCTGCACAAGACTACTGTCGATGTCATCACTACTGTTGTGCCTAAGACTACCGTCACGACCTTCACCACCAAGAACACGCCCACCACCGTCACAACTACTGTTATGGAGACGGCTACTTGCACTTCAAAGCCGGTTGTGAACGGCGGCTTTGACACAGGCGCAATCGCTCCCTGGACTGCCCTGGGCAGCTCGGTCGGTGCCATCGTGTCGGGCGGATCTACCCTTGAGAAGCCCAAGTCCAAGTACTCATTCCAGTGCTCATCGTTCAACAAGAACAACAACTGTGGTGTCAAGCAGACCCTCACCACATGCGCTGGAGTGACCTACTCATGCCAGTACGACTTCTTCTTCAGCAGCGCCGATAGCTCCAACGGCGTCTCCCCAGCCGTTGGCGTCTACGTCAACCCCAAGACAAATGCTAATCCCGTGTCTGCTTCTGCCCCTACCATGTTCAATTCTGGCAAGTGGACACGCGGATCAACCTTCACATTCACTGGTACCGGAAAGGATGTGATTGAGTTCCAGGCCACAACGCCAAGCAAGACTGCTAACTCGTTTGCACTCGACAGCATTGTTTGCACTGCTGTGCAGTCAACTGCGCGTACACTGTGATCATTGAGGGCTAGTTATTCACAGAAAACTCGATGCGGCAGCGTGTGGCATTAGTATTAGAACACATTTTCTTCCCATGGTCTAAATATACTTGGACATAGTCATTCTTTTTTAATAATTTGTATTTGATTTGAAACATAATTAAAGCTACCTGAGGCCTCGCCAGAGCGCCGAAGGTGCTTTGGCATTGTGAAATGAGGTCTCTATATGTATTTAGCGATTACATAGTACTCTACATAGATATGGAGTGGCGTCACTTTGGCGCAGTCAATCGAATTCTTTCCTTTTTCGCACTTTTTTGCAAACTTCTTGTGTTACAGATGTCTTCGCCGAGTGTTTCAACCAGCCGCTTGGATGGGATGATGACTACATGTGCTGTGTCTGATTCCCCGTGCTTCGACAACAACGTCTGGTGCAAATCGAGGGGCATTGCGGCTGACTGCAAGGACCAGTTGAAATTTGGCCACCATTCCATATAATTAGACTAGCCGATAAGGGTTTGACAAGGGTTTGGACTGGCGGCATTTTGGCTTCTCTAAACTCCAAAAAGAGTGGCCAAAGCGTCCAAGTAACTCCCTTAGTTCTGTTGGCAATGCGAATTCAGTCTAAAAATGGAGCATGCTTGTTTCTGTTGACGAGGTCATGATAATGGTCAAGTTTCTGGCCACAAGTATGTTGAAGAGAGGACATGGAGCCAAGAGGAGATACTGAGGCTCGGGGTTACATGCTCTGAGCAGACTTTAATTCATGCCTTTGAACTACCTGTTTCATCAACTGCAGCACAATACCGCGGCAATTCATCTGATGAGAGGTTGAGTTTAACGTGTCGTCAATAACTTCATTAAGCCTAGTGTTTCGTCGCTGTCTTGGCAGATTTCATAGACGTCTTGGCAGATTTCCTAAATATGCCAAGACAGCCTAAGGTACCTACCCAGGTAACGATAGGCGCTATAATACTCCATACCTTGTTTTGGCATAGGGTCCGCACAAAAAGATATAAAGGGCTTCAACTACCCACTCTAGCACATACGACCATAGGTAGAGGAGAATTCGGGGTCCCGTCTGCTCCCCCATAGACAAGCCTCTAACCGGCAGATTAGTAGTTGAGTGGGTGACCATCAGCGAACACCGGCTGTTGTATGTTTTTGCTTTTTTGATATCCTCAGTCAAATTGTCCAGTTAAGCCGAATTACCCCTGTAATCGAGCACATACGACCATATCCATTAGAATATACGGGATCCCGTCCGCTCTCCCAGAGTCAAGCTAATGAGAGGCAGATTAGTAGTTGAGTGGGTGACCATCAGCGAACACCGGCTGTTGTATGTTTTTTTGGTTGTTTGTTCTCTTTTTATATGTGTATAAATGCTTGTGTTGTGATACACGGCCGTAGCAGGAGTCAGGTAGCCACTTCGTCTTGGTTTACTTTGTTGAAGTCACACTTGTGTTAAGCGTTAGGAAACATCGGGTCCATAATTCGCCTATTGAAAGAAAAAATCATTTCTTTCGACTGACAGTGTTGAGAGTGTGCGAGAACGAGATGTATCATGTTTCATTCGATAGGAGACTATTCTGAGTTGCCTACCAGAAGAACTCCTTTAGACGACTTCCTTGACCACTCATGTGAGTTCTTTCTAGGCCTATCGCCTGCTTCAAGCTATCTGTATACTAAAACAGATGATAGAATACTACATACGTCCAGTAGTATAGAGAAGCAGAAATAAGGAGTATGCGTTGACATGCTTAGAGGTTACACGGGCAAACGTGAACCTGATGCTAGCATACTAACTATCATCACTCTGCCTAAACTAGTGCCCAGAGCCATTGCAACTCCCGTTGGCGGCGTTTCTGGCGATATACAAGGCGATATACAAGGCGATATACAAGGCCACAGTAATGAGGCTGAAAGCTGGTATTCAGACGCAAGCCATAATATATTATGTTTACCCCATGTGATCCAACTGCTGTCGTCGCTCAAGCCGTACCATGCTGTCCTGCCATCTGAGAATCTTTAGCATTAGATGCGTGCTGGGACTGATTTTTAATCACCCTCTCATCGATTACAAGTTGGGCATCGGGCCGAGTCTCTATGTCTAATTCAATAAGACCTCCGTCAGTGTATAGGTACGAGGCGGTGTTGTCGAACGGCAGGGTTTTGAATGATGTGCCGACATGAAGAGTGTGCTGCTCTATCCCCGTCGTCGCATCCCAGACCCTTATCATGCTATCCTGTGACTCTGAAGCGAGATAACGGCCGTCCGCTGAAAAGGCAACCAAGTTGACCCAATCTCTATGACCTTTAAGGATCTGCTTCTCTTTGCCTGTCATTGTATCCCAGATTTTCACAGTACAGTCGTCTGATGCTGATGCAAGATAATGACCGTCACCTGAAAAGACAACTGAGTTAATCTAATACCAGTGACCCTCAAGAGTCTGCTTCTCTTTCCCAGTTTTTATATCCCATATTTCAACAGTGCAGTCATCTGATCCTGACGCGAGGTGATAACAATTCGCGGGGAAACGGCCAAATTTACTGAGCGTGTGTGGCCTTCCAGCGTATGTTGCTCTTTGTCTATTGTATCCCAGGTCTTACTTGTTTGATCGTGTGACCCTGATGCGAGATAATGACCACCTGTGGAAAAGCAAGCGAGATCACTAGGCTCCTAAGGCCCTCGATCATCTGCTTCTCCTTCAAAGGGATTCTTTTCAAAGAAGGACTAGCATTAATTAATCAAATAAGCCATAGTAATTTATTATTCGAAAATATATGAACAATTGTACTCCGTCCAAGAACATTACTGCCAGAGTAATCACAAGCTGTTTGTCTTTAAGAATTGGACCATCTTCTGGAAGCTATCCGGCCCACTCTTGTGGGCGGCAATAGAATGACCGGCACCCGTTGCGATGTACGTTTGACTTCCTTTCGGCGCCGCTGGATAGAATGTCGACATAGTCACGACATTTTGATCCGTCGGGTAGAGACAGTTGCCGCCGCAGAAGACGAGATCATGCTGACCGTTGACAATCTGTACTGGCCCAGTGAACTCTGTTGACGGCGCAACGATGCCTCCCAGCGTAAGCAGGACTCCCAGCGTATTCGTCTGCTTGTTAGCAACCTGTTTTCTGAACACATCCTCGTCATAGTTTGGGTACCGGTAGAAGGCAAACTGGATGCCGGCAGCCGACTGCTGCGTCAGGAAGCCCGCGGGCAAGTTTTTGAACTGGGGTGCCGGGTCTGTGGTTGCGTCAATGAAGTTGAAGGCTGAGACGGTTAGTGCGACCGAGGCAGCACTGGCGCTGGTGCCGGACAAGATTACGGCGTCGAAGTCCTGCGGATATTGCGTGGTGATGCCCTGGGTCAGCGTACTTCCTGCGCTGTGCCCGACACCTACGACGTTGTCGAAACTGTAACCGCCAAGTTTGGCCTGCCGGAGCAAACCAACCAGCTCGTGCGCGACGGCGACCTGGGCAGTTGCCTGCACAATCTGGATGGGATCTGGGTGATCGGAATTCCCCACGCCCAACTGGTCGTAGGAGAGCGTGGCGTATCCTGCTGCAGAAGCCACGTCGACGTAGCTGTAGCCTGGGGCTATGTCCCAGTAAGTGTGGTCGAGAGTGGCTCCGTGTGTCAACAGTTGGACTGTCTTGACCTGGGCCAACTTTTCTGGGTCTGTGGGTAGGCAGAGCTTGACGAAAATATTATAACGGCCGGATATAACACTGGGCCCACCAGCGATGACCTCGGAGATCCAGGCTGCGTCCGCCTGGAACAACTCCACAAATGACTCCGTTACGGCCCTCTGATCTTTAGGTGCCTCGTAAAGAATTTTGGTGCCGGTTGCATTGATAGATACCGCGACGTGACCAGAAATGCAAGTCGAGCCACCGCCGGACGATGGGCCAATGACAGGATTGGAGAAGCCATCGGTGCTGCAGGTGGCTGAGGTAAAGCCAAAGAACGGGTTGAATACATGTAGGAACGCCATTTGGAGCAAAGCAGAGGCGTTCATCTTGGTGGGAAGAAGATGGAGATGGAGTCAAGGTGAGCACACTTTGGAACACAATGGCTGTTTTTATACTAAAATTCTTGTCTTGAAGGCGGTGCTTTGAGGGCCTTCATATTGAACAATTACCTCGCATCCCAGGTGCAACTCCGCTTTCCCTTGCCAGAACGCGTAATGTGATACAACCAACAGCTTGCCAAGTCCTTAACACACTGAAATATGTCGTTAGGTCTGGAGGTCTGTCATTTTTCCGTAAGCAAGGAAGAATCCTTCGCGTTGAATTTATTAATAACTTACATAGAAAAAAGACGTGAAAATGCCTCAAAGTTATTTTTGACTTGTGGCAAGACCTATATCAAATTGAAGCTACATATTCACAATGTGAACTTACACACTAATGCCAGCGGCGATGGAGTCATTACTATTCAACCTTAAATTCAAGACCGCTACAAAGGCCCGGGCCGCTTTAAACGCTGCTGGTAAGACTATTAGCTAATATAGTTTTGTCATTTAAGAACCCCAGCATCAGCAGTGACATATCTCTGGTAGTCACCAGAGTGGGAGGTTCGAGTGCAATCCTATTTGGAGAATGTTGTTAGCAGCTATGAATCTCGCGGCGGCGTACCAAGCGGCTTCCCCAACCCTGTGTTTAAGATTTCATGGACCATCTCGTCACTGCTTGCAAGTGGTTTATGCTGCTGGCTCCTACAATTTATTGGCTGTTGAGTGTTTATGCTAATGGCTCGCTGAGAAATCTCGCTGCGGATGTCATCAAAATAGACGTACCTATTGTCCTCGCCCAGTTCCTCTGTCGTGTTCTTTGCGAACAACAAAACAATGCGTCGTGGGGAGACTCAGTCGAAGGAACTTCGTATGGGATTCTGCCGATCTCGTACGTTCTCAAACTGCCTTGGTCCCTTACCATCAGACAGCACGCCGAAACCGCCTTCTCCAAAACGAGTACATACTTAGCAGCTCACTTTGACGAGCTGGCAACTAACGACTCTTCAAAACCCACAACACCAAGATGGCAAAGATGGCCCAGCTCTTTAGCTAACTTCTTCAAGGACTCTCGGCAACAACCATGGCATTGGTTATTCATGAAGCAGCAATTTATTCAAGCCGTCTCAAGAAAGTAGGCCTTGATAGCTTCTTCCCGGAGACATGCCGATGTCAGCAGACAAATATCTCGCGTACATCCCAATCGTGTGGACAATTGTCAATACCGCGAACAGTTTCGGGCTATCTAGAGATGTGAGAGATGATGGTGATCCCGATGTTGAACTATCAAGTGGGTGAATACATGGAGTCAGTCGTCGCTCCATTCAGACACATCCCAGTGGACAGTTTCCAGCCCTCCGTCATCTGACTATGACTCACCTCGCAGCTCCCCGGCGTTTGAGGATCTCGAGAAATATCTGCTGGCGCACATGTCGAACAACGGAGAAGGCACCAGCATGATAGAGGCCGGGCACCGGTCGCCTGGCACGATCAAGTCCCCTACTATGATTGGGTCCGTAGGACCGGTGCCAACAGCACGAGTTGTCCATATGCATTCGCCTTCATTCGTCTTATTTTGCTGCCTCATAAGCACCATCAGCTCTCACTGCCTAGCCTGGATGGAGCAGAGGTACCTCGCAAGGGAGATGTGCTTGCATCATGCCACCTTTTACCGCCAGTACAATAACTACGACTCTATGAGGCGAGATGATGCGGAAGGCAACCTCAACAGTCTGCACTTCCATGAGTTCACAGGCGAAAATGAACAGAGCCTGTATTATCAACTAACAGTTGAAGACGGCAGAAGAGAGATACCTCTCAAGAAGGCGAAAGGATTTCTGATGAAGGTGGCTGGCGTAGAGAGAGCTATTATGCAGGTTTGCTGGGGCACGCTCTCGTCGAGCCTTGAGAAAGATGTAAGAGCTTAACCGAAGGTATTCATTGCTGTGACAGATCTGTTTGGCCAGATATATGCGGCACTAGATATTGCCAGCAAAATGCAGAGATAGTGGACACTGGAAATTGGTTCAATATCCATTGGATTATTGATCTCGAACAGACGCAAGGAGCAAGCAACTGGGAGTTTGCACTGTTATTGATAAGCTGGCCTATAACACTAATGGTCACATACGACCATAGGTAGAGGAGAATTCGGGGTCCCGTCTGCTCCCCCATAGACAAGCCTCTAACCGGCAGATTAGTAGTCAGGTGGGTGACCACTGGCGAACACCGGCTGTTGTATGTTTTTTGTCATTTTTTGCTGCCTTTGTTCAAATGGGTTGACACTTTTTTTTGTTTGTATTCACTGTCTTTTTTTCAGTCATGGGTGGGTGGTCAAAGTGGCCGGGCGTGCTTTTTTATTCCCGTTGCCATCATTTATTAGTGACTTTAGGCTAATCATGTAGGCTAAATCCGCCGCCGTTTCATTCACCATTATATCCTCCTTTCCGTTTGTGCTGCTTCGAAAATAATATGCAAGTAATACGCTATCCAAGAATATTGCCATCAGTAAACTGGGCGAGATATTCGATCATCGGGCACAAAGTGGACTGCAAATTTCGCATAAGCGAGCCCGTGGCATGTAGGCAGAGCATCTTGCGCCTTGACAGCAAAATAGCATTGATGTATAGCATGCTTCTTGCTGCTATTCTTTTATTAATTATTGCCAAAATACTTTGATCCAGTCTACCATGGCTCCATGGGTTACTTAAGTATACTCTTGTAACATACTCGGGATGTTCATAGCAATGAACCAGCTGGAAAAGACTGTTGGGCGTTATATGAACTTCGTAATATGTGAGCAATAACAGTGTCAAATAGGTATTCTTGAGATTACGGTGTGTTGGTCTAGTAATATTATGTTAGAGAAGTCACAAAATGCAGAAGGAAAATATCTACATCCAGATTTCTGCACTTTTTCCGTACTTACATTTTCCAATCGGGTAAAAGCTACAAGTCTTCCATGCCTTATGGTGAGTAGAGGCGGGATTGTTCTCGACTGGAATCGCCTTCACCGTCCACCATTATGGAGTTGAAACTCTCGACGCGGATTCTGAGCTTGCAGACAGTAGTTCATGTATCAGAGATGGCATATCCTGAAAAACTCCAGGAAGTTGCTTCATTGCCAGCCCAGCTGGGAGAATCCCTTTGGAGTTTTCATCCCGGGGTTGTTGGAGACCGCAATGCAAGTTTCTTTCCTGCTTGCATATTTCGATAGATTAGAGATGTATCTGCTTTCAAGGCTGCCCACAAATAATGCGTCTCTACACTGAGGGTTCGTGGCGTACATGCTGACCGCAGCCTAGACCTTCATAGCTGTATATACTGAGTCACCCATACCGACAAAGCCAAAGTGGTCGCTTAATCTGCTGAAGTCAGTTGTAAAGGAAGAGACGTATCTACCCTCAAAGCATGTGATAACTTGGATATATATAGCCATTGACAAATATTGCACATGTGTAAACACGTGCACCACCGTTTGGCAATGATTCAAGTCTTCCCACTGAGAACTGTCCAGGATTGTCTTTTGAAATGTGCAGCTGCCGCGACACCGTCCTTTCTCCTTTATTCGAGAAGACGTAATTGTGGCGATGGTTCGAAAAATTGCAATTGCCGTAGTTAGATACTAGAGAATACAGTGTACATTGGCCATGTAATTGATGGTAACGAATGACTACTCGTTGCCAATGGGCCTATTTTGTTATCCTCAATGAACATCGAGGTTAAGTTCACAATTACAGTCCGAATTCTCTAAAAGCATATCATCATTATTGTAATCTCGTTATATGTGTGTATTTATTATTCCCATACAATGACTTGTAGTTGTTTCGCTAGCTATAGTTACGTATAGTACAAACAGTGAGTTTTTAGCTTACAAGATGTCGACAAATAGAATATGCAAGTTAAATGTTGCTGCTATAAGCTTAATTGGCCCGGTACTCCTAGGCAAGCGGGAAAGTCTCCGGAGAACTACTCGGTATTATGGAGTTGGACTCTCTATTTCACGTTCCGGACGGTCACTTGTACTGCATCCAGCAGAGATACTTGTTTACAACTATATTCCTGCGTTAGCAATATTACGGATAACCTCAGGTTAGATAGGCCATATAGGTTCTTATCTACTACTCTATCCTTTATGTGCCCTTCTGAGGATGTTTTAGTAGGTTACTACATATGGAGAATCTCAGGATAACTCTGCCAGTTACCCGAGTTGGGTTTACTAACATCACTAAAAGTTATATATGCCTTTACCTATTTGGTAGTTATTTCCCCTTTTGTGTGTATTTCAATCTTACTCGAAGTCTGCTAGAGAAACCACAGTTTAAAAGTAGTTACATAGACCAAATATCCTATATCTTTGATGCAAAGGAAGAGAAAAGCTACAGAAAATAACAATTTCCAATTTTTTATTAAAAAGCATACCGAAAGATCTACCTACCAGGATCAACAAGGATCCTGCGCCAAGTAACTAACTTGATGTCGCTTTTAGTTTTCTCCTGACAGAGTCAGTCATGAATGAGATAGCCAAATCCTCAGAGACACAAGGCAATATCAAACGAGGTGGTAAAATTCAAAAAGTCAGTAGATGATTAGAGGTCTTGCATGCACTGTCATCAAGCCTCTTGTACGAGATGAGCATGCTCATTGGAGTATTAAAGCCGCCACTTGTAGACTCTGGGCACGCGCTCAATCCCATGTGGGGCCTTACGCATCACCAAGTATAGCAACTTGAGAACTTATAAATATTGGGCAAAGAACGTGCGAACAATGCGATACCCACGAAGATACTCCTCGTAGTTGTGGACATTGTTGAAATCGGCGCTGTTATTCTCTTCCATCAGCGTCGTCTTGTTGACGTGTACACACAAGGTTGCAGCTCAATTATTCTTGAATTTCAACACAGATTACGTACCGAGAAGTCATCCATCCATGAACTTGGTCAGTGAAATATTCCAAATAGCTGCCCGGGTTATTGGCTTGGAGGTGTCCAAACCATTCATCAATGAGCTAGTATTCCCATAAGCCTCTAGTGCAATGCTAACAGGCGCATCATAATTTGAACGTTACCTTGGGGACCTCGTCTTGGCTAGGCAATACGCACATAGGTACAGCCACTTTCTTCGCATCTTCTGTGTCAAGTAACGAAGGGTGACACTGTGCAGCAGCCTTAAATGCAGTGCCTTTCTGGCATACCAGAGAGGCTATCTTTCCTCCCCAACAAAATCCAACAATAGCCCATGACTTGATCTCCGGATGCTTTGCTTGGATATCGGCCAAAATGGGAGCAATTAACGGAACTGTCTTAGGAGGATATCCATATCCGTTCATGAAGTCGGAAATGGCTTTGAATTGCTTCGGTGTTTTGGGTGGGAAATTCTGCAAATCTTGTGGGTGGCTGCCAAAAAAGTCGGGCATGAAGACTTGAAATTTGCCCGCGCTATCAGGCAATTCATCGTAGTTATGTGCCAATATATCAGCACCCTTCAATGACTGAATATAGAGGCCAAAAACGTCATAGATGACGAATATTCCCCTCTTTGCACCACTGTCACCAGTCTCGTCTGTTGGATGGTAAGTTTTAACACCTTCAACTAAATAGCCCAGGTGAGCAGGGAAGAATAATACTAACAAGTTTTCAGACCGTTGTACTCCGTGTATCTTCCCTTAAGCTCATAGCTATCGTAGCCTCCGGTGAGAGTTACCGGCGGCCGGGTACAGCAAGCCTTGCTTTGAATATCCATTATAGAGCCGGCTCGTGAATTTACAATCCCGATCTCACATTTAATTGTGTCGCCCGGCTCGCAGTCTTTTATACAACGACGAACTAGTAATACTTCAGCCACCGCCATGTAACTCAGCGTTCATAGTTGACCCCGAAGAACTTGCGATCACAAGGTTATTTGATCGGCAGATGTTAAACGCCCGTTGCTCTGCCCCGCATCCGTAACACGAGCGACTGGTCGGGAACACCTATATTTACTTTTTATATGTGCGAGGCGGCAGCCATCTGTTTAACCCCACAAGTTGAACTCTATCGGCAGAGCAAGGCTATACATCCACGCTGTGTGCATCCAGTAAAACAACGACTGGAATATGCCTCGACCACAGATTGAACTTTATCGAACATCTGCGAAAGAGTTTTATCGGATAGCTCGGATCGCTTAACGCCAATAATTCATCACAGTGCGATACTGGGACGCGCAGATGAACTTCAAATCAGGCGGATAGATCGTTGTACCTGCAAAAACGGTAGGAGGGGGTTTTCATAAATTAATGCCAACTAGCCAACCTCTTTATAGGCAAGATAGAGACTAGTTTAAGAGGAGATAATAATATCTTAAAACTATTCACCTGCTGGTATTACCGTCAGTAATCTTCTTTGCGCTGCCAATCATCTGGCGGCTTTGCCAGGTCCAGGAAGACGACCCCCGCCCGGTCCCCAGGTATGGGAAAGAACCGCATGAAGAATATCGACGGAGGAGAGGTCCAGAGTAAGGCTATAGTTGCCAGCAGCGTCGCATTATCATAGCCGCATCACAAGGCTCTAGGGTATTGAATCGACTCTTTGCCACCCACACACACACACACACGCACACTTTATTACGCCCGGTGGAGTCTCCTCCAATAGGGCAACTATTAATTTGTGTTAAATAAATAGCTGCTAAGCTATAATATTTCCTTAAAATATCCCATATATTAGCACAATCTAGCTCCGGCTCTTTATTATTAATGTCCTGTCTCTCTACGATTTCTTGCGCATTAGGTATTAATTATCCGCAGGCTAGCTTAGAGTTATTTTTCTAAGTGTTTAACGTCCTATCTACAGCAGCTGAAGTAACGCCAGCTTAAAGTAGCATAAGGTGAAATAAAAGGTATTAGGGAAGGTAATGGGAGTTAGTTATCGAGACAGCCTGTGGCCATTATAAACATATTATTGCTTATACAGCTCTTATATCTAGCCTCTACTTAGGTCTGTCTAACAGTAATTTCCCTCCTAAGTAAAATAAGAGGTTTTCTCATAGTATATTCTTATACTAAGTCATTACTTCTTTGTATTTTATTCATTTACTATATCTAATAAAAATATACTACTACCTCTTATTCTCTACCGCAGCTGTATTAATCTAATACTAATCTTTTAATTTAATATAGATAATTGTTTAATAAAGATATAACTGTTCTTAGCTGGGCTAGAACGCTATGTTTTTTCTATAGAAGTTCGTCGTAAAGCAGCCAAGTGTAATTTCTAGTTAATGCTGCGTCTCTGTAGTCCCTAAACATTCCTTATCGGGCATTTCTGCGAGACTCCAGACAGACCCTTGAGTAGCGAACTTTATTAATGTGTCTCCTTTTTTATCATTGACAACAATACTCTTAGTGTCTACATATTCAAGCGAGCCTATTATGCATCTGACTAATACCCATGGATCTTCACTTGCTGACTGTGATATTCAATTTCAAGCTAGTCGTGATTCGAGTGCCGAACCAAGTCTTTCTGTGCGCCTATCATAGAAGTAAGTATAAACAGAGACCATAAGAGAAATTAAGTTGCGTGTACTAGTATTCTTGGTACATGATTTTCTGTTCATAATGCCAAGATTGCCAAAATATAATGAATTGTTCGTAGATATCAAGAAAAGGCGTCAAAAAAAAAAAAAGAGCGGGACTTCTCTCATACAATATGAATTAACCCTACCCCATAGGAGTATGGAAAGTTTCTTTATTCAAACGGTTGTACTATATAAGTAAACTCTAACTATCAAAAACAAGCCAGGGCTATACTTTATGAAGTCACCATCAGCTTTTAAGCAATAGGTTGGAGCTTAAAATTCCTTGAGCGTATTCTCAGTGAGACGTCAATATACATATTAACATGTAGTGAGGGCCATTTTCTCAATTGGAGCAAATATTAAGTTATCCACGAGGGCTAGGTATAATGTTCTGCGACTGCGAATTGTCAAACTCTTACCGGCCAGTCAAAAAATTGGCCCTCATATCTGGCACTTTGGAATTGCCACCAATTTATTTTCATCAACCCAACGGCAGACAAAAACAATTGACATCGGTCCATAGCACCATAGACGACTGTATCCTGACCATTCAGCAAATAGGCCCTCGTCCGAGCTGCTAAAATTACCAAGGGGCCAGCTATACAAGTAGGGCATGAAAGCATATAATCCGGGCAGCCTTAAATGAATCTCCTTTACTCCGTATTCCAGTCATATGTAGTTCCTCTTGTACTAAATATTTCTAGCTAGCTAATTGCTGCCTAATTCAGCCTCAATAATAAATATGTGCATGCATAGTGACCAATTAGATAAACGGCCCTTGTGCCACAAGCGGCAGCGAATCAGGAAAATGGCCCTCTTTTAAGCCTAATCCAGCAGTAGTGCGACCTATATCTACCGGTGACTTGTACCTATCTACCCTTTTCTACCCTTGAATCTCTGCTTTTTCACTCCGTTGTAGTGTCTCGGGGCTCGCCCTTCGTGGAGCTCGCCCTTCGTGGCTACCTTGGTGAGTCTAAATCTGATGTGCGCAAGTTGTCGATGGAAGAGAGAGGAATGTGCATTGTAACTTAATGGCTGTGCTTTGAATTATAGATGCTTAATTCGACTAATATCGCGACTCTCTAGCTTCTATAAATTTTCAAACAGCCTTCGGCTCCATGCCAGCGATATATGGAGCTGATCATTAAGATTCTTGATTTTTTTTCTTCTGCGCGTTCCTAAGCAGCCGGGCTCACCGGCTTGTGGAACATTCAGAGTCACAATGGCGATCACTCCACCAAGCGCGTATACGATGCCGATGAACACAATCTCAGATGGTACCTAGAAGACTTAGAAGTATATTCCGGAGACACCCCCAGATCTAACGAGTGGCATGACGCCGTCAAACCGTGGGGCAATTTATGCCAACTATGGCCTGCTGCCACCGAAGGCGACGTCTCCTCTGCTATTACACATGATGACGACCCCGACTTATCCTCACAGTCGTCCATTCCTATTATTAGTTCGTTCACTCTCAAAAGCGAAACTACAAGTTCGCTTGGACCAGATACATATACTTTGCTGTCAACAACTTCCACAAATCCAGATTTGCAAGTGGCATTGAATCTGAGTCCCACATCGCCTACAACACCAATTCAAACGCTGTCACCTGGACAGTTCACCTTTCATGTCTGCAACTTCTGTGCCGAAACCTTTCTAAGTTTAAGCCAGTTTGTGGATCACGTCGAGCTGAAACACCCACGAGGCAAACGCTATCACTGCGGAACTTGTAACGCCGATTTTGGTCTGAGAAAGGACTTTCGACGCCACCTTGAAACTACGAAACGTCATCAATTATCTGTCATTCGGTGCCGATGTGAGAAACTACTCCGCAAGGACAAGTTCCGTAATCACCTACAACGCAAGAAGCCCTGCGACGCTGTTGTGCACTTTCTCTGCTATTGTGGGCACAGCGTGGACAGCAGCGTACCGGACGCAATATCCAGGATAATGCGGCATATAAATAGCTGTGGACGAGGCAGGCCAGGCCGGCCAAAGAAATGATCCCCACGTAGGAATGGATGGCTAAGAAGATGAATCGCACAAGAGATGAGTGTGTCGGCGTGTATAGTGAGGGTTACGTATCTGTGTACAGGGGCGATGACTATCGCGGTTGTTTACGCGCCACGATCAATTATAAATTGACTGTGGTGCGAGAAATCTGTGACTATACTTCTTGGTTGATGGTCGATGTTTGAAGGTTCCTCGGGCTGTTGGATCATCTGTCTGAGATTGTGTTCATCGGCGCGTGGACGCGCTTGTTGGTTACATAGTCAATATCCACCGAGTGCTCACCTTCATTTCCTATTTTCTCATACTTGAAAACCTTCACATATAGGTAAGGTATTTGCCATCACGGCAGTCAGAAAATTAAATATGTTTCCACTGGGGTCTCATGATAAACAGTGTGAGAATGGCCCTCACCATGAAGACTGTGTTTCCCGAGTCACCCCTGTCAACGGAGTCAAAAAGATCATATGGTATATTGAAGCCAGCTACGAAGGGAGAGAGAGATAGTATATCAACGTTGAAAAGACCAGCTGCATGTAGACGATTTGTCAAGTCAGCAAAATCTGCATATACGAGTACCTACCAAGAGTTGGCAATGGCTTTCGTTCGTGAGAATATCGTTCGTGAAAATTAGGCTCAGCATATCAGCGGTAGAGTAACGGCCCTTGTCTCCGTTGCGAATTGCTCTTGGATTGAAGCATTGTGGTATGTGAACATGGAAAATAAAAATTAAGAGGTAACAGGGACACCTTTGGCTATCTACCTAGGTAGATATGGGAGCCGGTCTTTTTTTTTTTTTTTTTTTAAAAAAAAAAAAAGATTCTCTCCTGTTCATGGATACGATGAGGGGCTAGCTAGAGTGTAAATGGTTTTAATTGCAGGTGACATTTGCTTCGATATAATAGAGGAGATCATTAAATTAGTTCTAGTTTTATTCTAGCCCCACATCACGTTCAAGCATCGCCATCATCCAGCAAGAATAGCACGAAGGGATGGGATTTTCGCTCTGACTTGGGGATTTTGGGACACTTATACTTCTCAATTAAGTTTGCATAATTGGCCACCCAACAATTAAATAAGATCAACAAAGAAGTTTAATATAGAATGAAAACAAGAATAAAGGGCTATGTTTGCCTTATCAGGGACGGCACACAGCAATCGTGTTGTGATCTCCAATCTGGTAGTGTCCGTCGATGGCTGCCTCATCCTACACAGCCAAACCTGCTACTTGCCTTTGGGCCTGTGGATGTTCTGAGTTATACTTGGCTTGGCCTCGAAAAGATCAATTCTTTGGTTTATTTTGGGCTTCCTCGGCTGGGCTTGGTATCCCGATTATCTAATTTCGCAATGAACGCCCTGGTGACAGACTTTGAACAATTCTCGACATTGGAAGGCGGTCATTTCGAATTATCAGTGATCGGTGTGATTCTCTCGCGTGATGCTGAATATATCCAGGTAAATGTGAAGACTGTTAACAGGAATACTAATCGACAAGTATTCGTCTTTGTAGTCGCTGTATTAGCCATGAACGTCCCTAGCATCCGCCTGCCCTCAACTTTGGGCTATCTGCAAACCCTAGCCAGCATATCTTCTCAAATCAAAGTCTCATTAGGGATTTTGCCAGGATCCAGACTGGTTTTCCTTGATCATAACTTGTGGCTTTGCACCTACTTCCTTGACTGGGCAACACATAGCGGCACGATAGAGTCATACGATCGACAGTATTTTATCCCTCGAGACTGGATTGGGACTATTAGTATTGAGCGCTGTTACTTAGCGAAGGATGAGACTCTGTTCTGGCCTAGAGATGATGGGGCGGCGCTGATAGAGTGCAATCTTGACGAGCCAAGAGTGAATTACTTCTATCAACGATAAAAAAAACAATTGTCGCTGCTCATTCTTGGACTAGCAGGCAAATTCATTCTGATCATGATTGTACCTGAATAATGATATTAATTTCTGGCACGAGCTAGCCAAATATTAGACCCTATATCTAACACCATCTTCAACTTGTGCAACACCAACGAGGCTGTTCGGTTGTGCGTCTTCTAATGTTCCACCAGTCCAGACATAACCCAACTAATAAGCCTAAGAAGAAACAAGACACAAGTGTCCAAATTCTTCAGGATTCTTTCTGCGAGTTACCACCTTCTTGATGGCTTGAGAATACACAGCCAATGGTCAATATCATTTCAGCACGCTTTGTCTTATTCGTGGCTGTTTTAGTTAGGCAATCTCCTTGCGTACATGAATATATGTTCTTTACTGAGTGCATTACTACTCAGCTATATGATCTCTCTTATCCACTTGGCTTGTCGAAGGCAGGCAATAGCTACATGTATCTTACCAATTACCCTTCAATGTATATATCATCTCCCTAAATTAAAATTCGCAATCACGGCACTTTCTTTAATAGCGCTAAATGAATAGCCGTAACTAGTGATCACTGAAAGGCCCAGTGAAGCATCGCCTCCTCGAAGCACAACTGAGCTAATGCAAAACCAGGATTTTATGTTCTCCTGCGCGAATTAATAATTTCACATATTAAATAGACGCGTCATTGTGATTTGGGTGCAAGGATTTTGATCCTGCAATTGCTTGATATAGTTTAGACCGCGGTCTTTGGGGCAGCAGTGGCGATCCTTTTGGGGGCGGATTGTGAATGATTCGCCTCCGTTACGCCTCAACAGGCCATGAGGTCTGCCGTGGGAGAGCAATTGAATCCTGGGCGCTTGAACGAGCGATCTATCATAAGCGCTATACACACCTTGTCGTGAGTGAGTGAGTTCCAAATTGTATCGCTTATATACGGAGCAGTTTCTCCGCGTACGCAAAAGCTATCTATTCACAGTGATTAACCTGCCGCCCTCTTCTCTTGCTTGAAATTGTACAAGCAATCCGTGAGCTTCCTTTTCCATGGCCGTTTCACCCTCATCAATGCCAGGCATCATAGGTCGTTGATCAAACCCGTGAAAGAAGACGGCCAATATATTGTTAGTCCACGGTACCAGACCCGCCTTTCTCGTTTTCATCATTACTATTACCAAAAATACCAGAGAGGCCACCAATTCGAATGCAGGTAGAATGAGCCATTCCCACGTCACAACGGCGTGGCTAACTGGAGCAAAAGCTTTACCATGTATAGGTGATGGCTGGTACGATGCACTCCGAAGGCTGAGGGATAGACTATTGGCCAGATTGTCCATCAAGTCTGTAAATCCCATCTCTGAGCTGTTCATCGCCGTTCTCATTATTTGAGCTAGATCCGAAGAAGCGGAAGATTCGAGTGAGTCGATCAGGCTTGAATGTGCACTTCCACTAAGTAGGGAATTGAGCCACAGGCCGGTCGCGACCTTTGAAATGGCCAAGACACGGAATTCGCCTGCATGAGGTGGACGCAGAATGTAATGCTCATTTTCGGGAACAATGCCTTGTGTTTCGTTTGTCCAGACCGAAACGACCGTCTCGTGTAATGTACCGTTAGCAAAGACGGCACTCATGTTGCGAACGCAAAATTGCAACATGCACTCAAAGGCTACTGGGGCCGCATATATCCCTCCCGTCATCTTTTCGGATGGCACTCTGGTCTGGTCTGGCTGCTCGGGGATTGTGCCAGGAGCAGCAGCAACAGCGAAAACGCTTATCAACACTGACCCATTGTGTGGAAACGCGACGGAGCTCCAGTCATCCGGTGTAATGGTGGTGGATACGTTGAGTACGCCGTTTGTGATGGATGAATCGACTTGGTTATTCATTTGCCCTGTCTGGATGCCAGTCAGTCCAAAACCATTCGGCAAAGTGTATACATTTGTGTCGTAAGCCTCGTCAGTAAGGTTATGAGGTATGATGCGTATTTTATCTCTTTTGAGTTTCCGCGACAAATTTTTGCAGGTATTGCAGAACCCCAACGACTGATAAGAGCTCCATGTGCAATTGCCAGTGCTGCAGTGTGCCGTTGCGGTGAAGTTGGTACTCGGAGGGTTAAAGAAGGCCAGGTAAGGGGCTGAAGTGAGCACGGAATCGACATTAGCTGTGGTCCCTCCATTGCCAACGGGCGCCGTACCGACACCATTCATATATTGTGCAATAGGAATCAGTGCATTTCCAGAGGCCGGGTAGATGGTATCGTAGTTCAAGGCCTGTTGAACGAAGGTGCCGATGCCCAGAGCAGCTATGGTGATAAAAGCACCCAGAGAAGCTATCAAACTGCGAGAGACAGAGTAAGAAACGATATTAATGCCCAGTAAAGTACATATGAATGCAGGTGTCATGCTTACCCGCCTCTGCGACTAGCAATGAGCACTGCGCTCCCCCAAGCCCCTCTGCTGGCCTCGTCAATGACGTGAAAGTCAGCCAAGGGTGTCCTTTGCAGCGCATTTAGCCACTTTAGCTGTCCAATTCCAGAACCAAAGGATATCTCCAAGAAGAACTCGCCGACTGGCGCCAGGAGTAATACCAAATCTCAACTGAGGCAGGGGATGACCATCAAACACTCTCAGGGTAATAACAAGGGCAACAAAGCAGCAGGCACTGGCAATCCAGCTAAGAATCTCCACCTTCCAAGCTATCGAATGCCAGTTTGAGCGCAGGCGCTGACGCCGGCTTGGCGGTTGCACCCGCGCGGTTGGAGGCTTGTCTGGTGGTGCTATTGCGGAGGCAGAGCTATGGTCAGCAATGGGAGGAGACTCTTCGTCGCCGTTTCCAAGAAGGTGCTCAAGGTCATGCCCGGGAGAAGGAACTTCAAGATCGCGTAATTCATGGTTGTCTTCCATGTTTGGCATATGGATGCCATACGTATCCTTGTTGCACTGACCAATCCAACCGATTAATGAGCGAATGACATGCAAACACGAGCAGAAAATACTCCGTAGATGTGAATGGAACAAAAACTGCCGTTTCTAGGGGCCTTGGCGCTGCATTTATTTAATGCTGAGCTCAAGCAGTAATACTACATGTAAAACCAGGCCGCAGATCACTCTCAGCCGGTTTGCTGATTGATAACACGAAGGATTGGGACTAACTTCAATATTGGTTAGAGGTAGCAAATAGCTGATGGGTCTTTCTGAACCAGAACAAGTTATCAACACTTAAGTCGCGACTTAGCGTGTTTCTCTTTATATGCAACGTAACGCTCTTCTGCCATCTTGCCGCCATGTATTAGCCATCCTAAGGTTAGGATTGACAGCGGTCTTTCCAAGTTTCAATAATTGGCGCAAGTCTCTCGCCACTCGATGCTGCAAGCGCCTCTCATCTAATACCATAAACTTGGAAATAGCCAAGAGCTTAGCTTGAACGCTCCTTTTCACCCGCTGTTATAAGAGCCATAAGCTTGGGAAGCACAGAGAATACAAGCGTCTTCGTATACACCAAGGCTCTTACATTCAGTATTTGCTCTCAGTAGTAAACTGTGCCATCCTCGCTATCTTCTTAAGTAATTTGTTTAGTCTCTCGGCAATTTCTTCTCCCATTTTAAAACTATGCAACTGTTGCTCTCACCACCGCTGATCTCCTCACCTGTAGATTAAGAGCTATAGCTCAGCTTCACTAAGAATCGCTCCATTTTCTCCGTTAGCGGCGGCTCGGCTCGACATTCCGCACCGCTTTACTCTCATCTCTCTATTGCGACGAAGTATCTGTTTACAGATGATGGGCATTTCCTCCACTCATCAACAGGCATCGGCGGTAATGTTTCTCTCTTCTCGATTGATTAATGAGATCCGCTATCCAGGATTGATAGCGTCGTGATGACTACTCGCTATAAGAGCACTAAGGAAGTCCTATTAGCCAAATGGATATTTGCGAGTTAAAACATCTAGGCTTACTTGCTTACTTGCTTGCTTCCCCTCCGCGCACATGCAAAATTAAAATCTCTGTGAGCTACTCCGTATATGTGGCCTGATAATCTTCGTCTAGTTGAATTTCCGTCATCGCGAGCGGCACGAACCCATGAATTGACAGCATTCATTGGGGTTAATGCAATCTTGTTGACTCATCGTTGGCCACTTCATCACAGTCCACAGGTCCCAAAAAAAAAAAAAAAAAAAAAAAAAAAAAAAAAAAAAAAAACCTTTAACAACCCGCATCTATTTCATTATAAATCAGCAGAGTTCAAAAATTCGCTCCATGTTCCAGTAAGGCGTGCTCTATCCCTTTCGGAATCATCAATGGTGCAGTTAGTACGGGTAATCTACCAGCGCAAAGGTCGGTATTTGAGGCTGAAAACATCTGGTAGAACGGTAGAACAATTAGATTCAATATTACCAGTTCGTCGAACAGAATGAATTTCCTTTTAGTTTAGTCCCTCCTAGTTTCAATATTGCCTCTATTGTCAGTTCTAAGATTGATGCAAAATTGTCCACGTGAATAAGATGCCAAGATACATACCAAGTATTCGAACTACGCTAGAGGGTAAGCTTGTAATACCAGAGTATTGCTTCTGAATAGAACAGATGGGGTGTAACAACTTGAATGTTGATTCAAAAGGCGTAGAAAAATGATTTGAGAGTATGTGCGCGTCATCTTATTTAAAACCACACTCGCTGTCTGCTGAATAGTACAACATACACAAAGAAATAAAGAGACAGAAAGGAACAAAAAAGAAAGCTATAGTGGTACATTATTACATTACTAACTTTTTTTTTTTTTTTTTTTTTGCATCTTCGCCTTGAGACCTTAATCAGGAATATAGCGAGTATAACCACATGGTGTGCAAGATTCTACCAAGATACTTGCAGACTAGGTCCTTAAGATCAGGTTCTAGACATCTAAAAAGAGAAAACAAGCGTTCCTAATTGTAGCGCAGTGGGATTGATACTTCGGAGGTTACTAAATCTGGTTATTTGCGGATTTGAAGCTGGAGCTGACAGGCTTATTGCCGCCTGCACATACACCGGCAGTTGGGCTGACAGTGCCAAGTCTATTCTGCAGGCGTTCAACGAGGCATTATTGTGGCATGATTTGCAAATGGAAACCAACCAATAGAGTAGATTGGCAACACACCTATTTTATTCTATCACATTGTGATAATGGGCGTAGTTGGAAACTATGCTTGAGGCTGTGTCTATTGTTTCTGCCTAGTTCAACTACTCGATCCTCATTTCAGAGTGGCATCTGCGTCAAAACATGATTCTACAACCATAGGACGCATATTCTACCCTTTTCGCTATATAATTGAGAAGATAGCAAACATTGACAGAGTCAGTCTAATTCGTTCAAAATGTCCTTGCAAAGTCCAAATGGTGTTGGGAGCTCTGAATTGCTCTACCAGCAACTCCCGTTAAACGAACTTGAGATCCGTCTTTTGAGGCTAGAGTCGGGCGCGGGGTCAACAGAGATTCGAGCTTCGCTGATCAAATGTCGCCTACTTGACATCAAGGCTGGAGGCCCCTTTTTTGAAGCCCTGTCGTATACCTGGGGCCAGACTTCAATTACCAAAGATATCATCATCAATGGAATAAAGTTTCCAGTTACCGAAAATTTGTACGCATTCTTGGAAGAATACCAGGAGGCGGGTTTAGATGCCGACCTATGGATAGATGCAATATGCATCAATCAAAAGGACCTCTTGGAAAAAAACCATCAGATCCCAATGATGAACTTGATCTACTCAGCCGCCAGGGCGCTAATTATCTGGCTTGGAGAGTCATCATCCGATAGCGATCTGGCAATGGAATGGATCGACTATCTAGGCCGTGAGTCTGCCTATGACAAGATGCCCAATATACCAAACAACGCTTGGCAAGCTATGCAGAGTTTGCTTGAACGCCCATGGTGGAGGCGCATCTGGATAGTACAAGAACTTACTACCGGCGCAATGGGGAAAAAGCTGGAAAAAGCATCGATTATCTGCGGCCATGCCCGCGTTTCGTGGATATCCGTAGTAGTTGCCGCTGCTCGCATGAAGGCTTACCAAGACGACAAGAGACAAGTTTTCCCAACTATTACGGAAATTCTGGAGCTTGATAGTTTGCGCGACAGCGCTGGAAACTACCTTTCGAACCAGCCAACGCCCAAGGCTTTGTTTGATCTGATCTGCCGGTATAGACACTTCTTGGCCACAAACGGGCGGGACAAGATATATGCAATCTGGAACATGTTTACAATATTGCCTTCACGCCGACTTCAAACAAGATATGACCAGTCTGTGGAGGAGGTTTACGTCGACTTCGCCACAGAGATGCTGTCTAATGAGACCGGACTAGAGGTGCTGCGCCATTGCGTGAATGGTAGCCCAGACATACCGTCATGGGTGCCGGATTGGTCCGTTCCACCCGGCTCGTTACCATTGCCTTTTCGAAACATTCAGCGTTACTTCGACGTTCCCTGGTGGGCAGAGCCTCATTTTGAAGAGCCCAGAGCTCCGATTCGCGCTGATGGAACTAGAGAAGATAAACAAGTTAGATACTACGTGTCTCCTCTGGTAAATAGTGCCGAGACTGAAAAAATGCGAGAACGCCGAATCAAGCGACTAGAATGGTCTGCCACTGGCTCCTCAGTCATAAAAAGCTTAGACGATATTCCGGAGCATTTTGCATTCCACAGCCGTTTCCCCGATGACATCAAAGAACAAATCAAAGCGCTACTCCCTCGCGATGACTTCCTCTTTGTGGTTGCTGATGAAAACCCCAATGTACCGGAAAATCCCGACGCAGTACAGCGAGGAGAACTTGTCAATGAGCGCAAGATGAAAAAATGGCTTCTGCAGGAGCTGAGGCACTCCACTGCAAAGCCACTCTACACAACTGCCACAGCGGTCAACGCCAATTTCAAGATTATCAAGGACGAAAAGTGTCTGCAGATTAAAGGCATATTGTGGGATGAGCTCGAAGTGTGCCATGAGAGTTTCGTTGAAGATGTCGACAGAAATCTCGCTGATGCAACCCATTTTATGGTTGCAGTAGGTTGCTGTAAACAACTTGCGGTGTCCAACAGGAGTTCAATAAACAAGTATCCTAATAACGCCGAGCTATTGGAAGCTTTTTGGTCGACCTTGATTGTGGGACAAGCAATAGAAGACAAGACCACGATCGAACCGCAGAACCAGCCACGTTACGAGGATTGGCTCCCAGAAATTCCAAAGACATGGACATCGAGTCAGCCTCCTGTGACGGCAAAGACCACAGGCTTGGTCGACATCGCCGAGGTTACCGAGGCTATCGAGCGCTCTACGTCTCTTCTCCACGAGAAACAGGAAGACGACGCCCCCAAATTCGTGCATCAACTCCACCCTCAGCTACGCGAGCGGGCATTTCCACCCCACGACGCCGAATACGTAGCCCTGTTAAACAAGCTCGCATCAGCATGGCACCAGCAGCCCTATGACCTTTACCATCGGCCTTTTGATCTGTTAAACGTGATTTCTGATCCATATTGGGAATCTAGACGCCAGAATGATGAAATCGCTAAGCAACAGGCGAAAGAGAGAGAGACAAGATTTATCAGGTCAAGTGTCGAGTCAGTTGCAGATTCCCCAGATCAAGAAGTCTTGCGTCAGACTTACGACGCTGTGGATGAAATCTTGAAACAGCAACCAAGTCTGGTGCCACAGGGCACTCTACCTGCAGGCATCGAGAAGTATGCTCTGGGGCGAATGTTTTTCATCACGAGAAAGGGATATTTTGGCCTAGGACCGCAGAAGTCAGAGCCAGGAGATAGGGTAGCCGTGATTTTTGGCTCCGGCGTACCTTTTGTGATTCGAAAATGTATCACGGCTGCGGGGAAGCGAGCTTGGAGGATTGTAGGAGAGTGTTATGTGCATGGGATAATGCAGGGCGAGGTGATTCAGAAGTGGGAACTGGGCTCAGTTGAGGCACGGATGCTTCTTTTGATATGATGCAGAAATGGATTGCAGAGTCGGGTTGTTAATATATGAATATTGGGTATCTGTCTATAGCTAGATGAAGAAACATTTGGTCTCCTCTTTGTCTCGACAACTGAAAGAAAAAAGAAACTCATTTAATAGCGGGGTAAAAATATGTCTACTTTTATGGCATGGTTTTATTACGACGCCGGTCGAAAGAATTTCTAGCGGCGAATTAGAGGATAAGAGATTTACCGTCCGTCAGACGCAATAGCTAGTCACGGATGCGCAGCTCATCGGGAGTTGCCAACATTGATATGATACACATGTTCCTAGAGATACTGCTAGTCTAATAGACATATGGGATCCCAATCAAATAGGACAAAGCCTTCCGGCAGCGTCAGTCGCCCATTTCTCACTCCCAACATTCGTTATCCCATAAAAGATGCCCTCAGGATCCCACTTCTTCTTGATTTTACTCAGCTTCGGATACGTTCCGTCATAAAATGCCTGTTGAAAGTTCTTTTGCGCCCAGTTCGCCTCGTTTTTATAGGCTCCAGCGTCTGGCGCTACTTTCTCCAGGATGGGCATGATCTTGTTTTGTATCTCGTTCTGCAACGCCTCCGCGCTGGGCCAGTCTAGGTTTTCGGTCCCGGTAGGGTTGATGACAATGGAACTAAACGCCGTATGGAAGTTTGGTTGCACAGCATTGGCTGCAACTGGAGGCGCCAGGCGGCTTCGATTCTTGTTCTGGACGTTCAAGGACACGAAGCTGCCATAATAACGACCATCAGACAAGGCAGCGCGGAGAGCTCGATGCCATTCCGTCGACTTGGTCTGAAGAATCTTGCGTGGAAGAAAGCGACCGGCGAAAGCATATGGAAACACTGCAGCAGCCAGCGCTGGCGCTACAACGGTCTCATACAGCTCGATGTAGCGGTTCCAATAAGATACGCTAAAGCTCATGGAGTCTTTATTCAGCGTTGGCGAGACTTTGGTAAGGGCATCAACAAGAGGTTGCATGGACGAGGCCAGCGAATCGTTTTTGACGCCCGGTGCAATCAAAAGACCCATGGTCAATGTGTCGTTGGTGATGAGATATTCGGCGACTACGCCATCGTCAAGCAGTGGCTGGAGCTGCTCCTGGAACACCTGGACAGCCTCCCAGTATTTGTCGACGCCACCAGCTTTGGAGACGTTAAAAATCAAGCTTGCAATCGACGCGTCTGCGTCAGGAAATGCCCGAACTGTCATGGACAAGACGACGGCAAAGGTTCCGCCACCTCCACCACTGAGAGCCCAGTACAGATCCGGGTTTTGAACAGGCGTGGCGGTCAGATGGCGGCCATTAGCAGTTACCACTTCCCATTCGAGCACGTTGTCGGCACCAAACCCATAGATCCCCGAGAGCAAAGAGTGGCCACCACCCTGTGTGTAGCCGCCGGCAGGCTTGACAGTTCCGCATGAACCAGCCACGATGCGGTATCCATAGGATGATGTAAACGAGGCAGCTTCTGAACCAGACACTCCAGATCCGATCTGAACAGCTGGCCCCTTGTAGAAGGAAGACTTGTATGAGGGTATGAACTTCTTGGACTTGAGATTATGAACCCACAGCAATAGAGAACCCTTGCCAGTGGATCTGCCGTGGACGCTGTGATTCTTGTCAGTTGCCGAGCATATCACGATTCGGGTTTGTCCAAGCCACATACTCATGTCCCGAGTTCTTGATGACTAGTCGGATGTTGTGTTTACTTGCAAATTGCAAGCCAGCTAGTGCGTCGCTAGCAGAACGCACATCGATAGAGTAAGCGGCGCGGTCACCAGGCACACAAGGCGTCGACGGGTCTGTGAGAGGAGTACAAGTGTTGTTCTGAAACCAGGTCGACATGAACTCTGTCGGATATTTCGCACTAACAAGACGACAATTAGCAATATGAAATGCGGATAATAATAGAACCCGCCTTACTCGAGAGCCGCTAAACCCCATTGTTTCCGCAGGTCATCACACGCAGCCTCCGAATAGGTTGGCGCATGACAAACTTCGGCCAAGGGAACCGTGGCTATAAGTCGACCGCCCACTGTGCGGTTCAACTGAGTCCAGGCCTGTGTACCTGGCCATCCCGCATCGCCTGGAATGTTCTTACAAAGCGGTGCTCGCCCTGTGATGTCGTCCGAACGAGCAACGACACTACCCAGAACTGGTTGTAGGTGAACCGCCGCAAAGGCGGAGTATGTGACAAGTTGTACTAGAGACGGCATAGTTCATTCTATTCGAAAGAAGCCTGACGACAAGTCTGATCTAAAAGCTTTCGAAGCAATTCCTATCCTCAACTATATATCTACTACACAGTCTCGAGCGAAGGGATCACCGAAGACCCACGCCGAATACCCACGCCGATGATCCACTCCGATGGCCCACACTCCAATATATATAACTTGCTCTCAGAGCTGAAGCTGAGCAGGAGAGTGCAAGGCTGAGAATAAGATTGCCTTCCCGAAGCGTTACAAAGCGTCAGCACAGAGCCTTAATGCTTATAGACCAAACCAGGAGGACGTCGACTAGGCAAATTTAGGGATGTCTTATTGACCATCCATCCTAGCTTAGGGGTGACCTATTGGGCATCCAGCGTACATTAGCGCGCTATCATTCTGCGTCACGATAGATGGTAAGCATACAAGCATCAAATCATGTAAGCCATTCCCATTTACAGTTCCAATATATGCAGCCGAAACTCTGTGTCTCTTTGATCCAATTACATGCGTGTTATTAACCGACTGAGTGTGCGGAATAGTCACATGCAACCACAGGGACATTTCAGAGTCCCGTCGAGTTCTTTATCATAGGTAGGTAGTTCAATATCTAGGTTCCAATTTTTAAACCTTTGGTTCCAAAATTAACCTTACACGAGTCCGGTTTCTAGCGTTACTCTATTCGACTTATACTACACCAAGTCATAATAGTGGCGCCCAGCTGTTACAAGTTTATTGAACCTCTCATCTTCATTTTTAATCTAACCTGTATAATATTGGCACTAATCAGATCAAATAGGCAAATATCGCGCTCATGAGGAGAACTACTATATATAAGCGTTTTTAAATCATTCAAGCAATTTTATAATTCATGCATAGCTTACTCGGTATCAGGACCTGACTTTGGACTATAAGTCAAAATCGTACGTTCGCAGCTACTTTGCAGTATAGACGCTGCAAAGCAGATTCGTAGCTGGATCAGGCCTCCATGGGTTAATCAACCTCCATACAAACATAGAAGGCTCTCATGGGAAGGTATATACATTGGCGTTTCCACCATGCAGCCTATTCGCCAACTGCATAATTGCCCCAGTCTAAATAGACAAGTTCTAGGGTCAATTCCTTGATCTCTCTGCCCCAAGTCCCAACCTCCATGGCCACCGCCTTGCTTTGGCTTTCTTGCCATACAGTATCCTGGTCGACCTCTTAAAACTTTTGTGCCAGCATATGGCGTTCAGCGGATAGGCGACCAGTCGCCTTTGCCTATGGGAGGTCATCCGGTTTCAGAAGCATCATGGTGCACTCTACGTTGGAGTTCGAGGATATGGTTCCGCCGACGTATCACGGGACAAGGCTGGGCAGAATAATTACAAATACTACTTATAATTATCTGACACTATATCGTCCCCCAGGCAGATAGGATCAGTACGCTCTATCTACTGAGCTCTCACGCAGCCGGAGCGACGGTATGGCTTACCTGTTGATTCCTCACGTCATACGCAGTGACAGTTGTAGCGACATGCTCGGCGGAGGACGAGCATCTGCGGAAAGCGGCAGAATTGTCCATTGAGAGGTTTTGGTGTTTGCTGGAGATTTTTCCGGGTCGGACCTTTACCATCCGGCCGACAGTCGAAGTCGATGAGCCTCATGTAATTGAACTCTTGATACTCGCGGCCGAGTTGAGAAGCAAGAGCTGCTCCGCTTACGACGCGGTATACCACTCGGGGATGCCCCATTTATCCGACTTGATGCCATTCTTTCTTGCTTGCCCTCTGACGAAGGGTATGTGCAGGCGGGAGGAATCAGCTTTCTGGCTCCCCCACCTGGTTCGCCTTCCACCCCGCTGCCATTATCTGACGCACGGATCCAGATAGCATCAAGCTTGGATACAGGCTCGCTATAGCCAGCAAGGTCTCGCTACGCTTCTGCCAATTGACGGCTTTACCTGTGCTCCCTCTCTTGCATGTGGTGATGACGAGGGGTTATACCCCGCAGTGTGGAAGTGCCTGTATGAAATATTTGATGCCTTGCCAGCCGCCTTCAGTAAGAAGACAAGCATTGAATTCGTTCGTCATTTTAGACAAACAAGGCTCTTGATTTTCCAAGACACCTTCCAAGCGAGTAACATATCTCATACTACCTTCTTTTACTGGATTACATCCTCTATTTGGTACCGCTTTTACTATGGACAGCCCCGCAGTGTTACCAGTTGACAACCCAAGCAAGTCATACTGGCTTTCAGAACCATCTAAGAAACTCCAAGGCTACCGTACCACGGAAGACTTGCCGCAAGTTGCCGATGTCCTCATCATCGGGAGCGGAATTACTGGCGCCTTGGCAGCCCACTTCATCAAGGGGAAGGCCTCCAACCTGAACGTCGTCATGCTTGAGGCAAGAGAGGTATGCTGGGGTGCTACCGGAAGGGTAAGTCTTTTATTCTATTCAAATCTCGAGGTATTCAAATCTCGAGGTAATACACCAATGGAAAGTCCATCTAGTGGCGTAGGGAGAGTGGATGGCGCGAGAGCAGTGCGAGCTGCAAGTGGTGTGATGGGGAATGATGCTCTTACCGCTCCCCAAGGCAATTTGCGTTTAGATGGCCACGAGAAATCCTCAAAGTGCTATACCAACTCTCCCTCCCCGATGAAGAAGAACAATTGCCCTGTATTCTGATAGTTCTCCGCTAATAGTTATGCAGAATGGTGGTGATTGTCAGCCAGGATACTACGCCTCACCGCCGCACATCGCCAAGTTTGAGCATCGAAATTACTCTTACCTCAAGGAATTAGTCGAATCGCACTCAATTCCTTGCGATTGGCGCACTACAACTGGCGTGCACGGCTATTATTCTCCGGAGCTCTTTGCTGCCACAAAAAAGATTATTGAAAAGATCCAGCAAGAGAATCCGGATATTGGTGCAAATATCATAGTTGTAACGAAGGAGGACGGCGAACCTCCTTTATGCGAACGGGAAGGTGAGAGAGAGAAGTTTACATTGAAGGCTTTGCGAGTCGGTGCTGCCGAAGGCGCCGTCGTGCAGCAGAATGCTGCGAGCTTCTGGCCATATAAGCTTGTTGCCTTTGTGCTGGAACGCCTAGTGGCAGATGGTGGCTTCAATTTACACACGAAAACCGCGGTTACCGGTCTGAAAAGAGTCGACCTACCAGCGAAACTATCCAGCTCCCACCCTAACGACGACAAGGCAGCATCTGGAGGCTGGACAGTTCACACGTCCCGTGGCGACATTTTGGCCCGCCACGTTCTCCTCGCCACAAATGCGTAACTTCGCATCTGCTTCCCCAGTTTGCAGATATTATCGTGCCGGTCAAGGGTCAGGTATCTAGCCTCAAGCCGCTGCCCGCCAAGGGCCCACTGGATATTGGGCACACGTTCTATTTCGTGTCTGACCTCGACGACCGCCGGGATGACTACTTAGTGCAAAGACCTCCGCCTGGTGCAGAACTTATTTACGGCGGTGGACGCATCCGCGCAGAGGGTCACGGACTCGGCGTGTGGGATGACAGCACCATTGACGAAGGAGTGGCGCAATATCTTAAGGGGGAGCTGAGCGGCTTGATGGATCTCTCGATACGCGAGCAAGGAAATGTACAAGGCGAGCATGAGATCCACCTGCAGAAGCAAGATATCAAGCCGACATTTGAATGGTCAGGCATTATGGGCTTCTCCCGCGACGGCTGGCCTTGGGTCGGCCCTGTGCCAGACAGCGCCGGTGGTGGAGATGGACTCTGGCTGTGTGCCGGGTACTCTGGCGGCGGCATGCCTAACGCGGCCCTCTGCGCCAAGGCAGTTGTCGATATGATGATTCCTGGCCACAAGGATGGGGGCGAGGTGGTCGACATGGTAGATCTCCCCCGCGAGTATCTGCTTACTGAGGATAGGCTGGAGAGGGCTAGAGCACGCGAAACCGTCGCGGAAGCAGACAAGAGGGGTGCATTAATATGATATATTTGTGGAAGTATGGTGTACTCGAAGCATCTAGCATTTCGACAAGGCACATACCTCTTCCATACCTAGCTTATGAGAGTTTCGCAGGTGAAATATGTTCATTTCATGTCACACTGTGGGCCATAAATCTTATCGTGAACAGGAATACAGTCAACAAATGTGTATGTTTTCGTCGGTCCTTTGTAATATATTGAAAATAGAGGGCACCTGTTAACGAGAAAGATGTTGAATCAATGCTCAAATTACATGCCGTATACCCTATCTGATACCACCCATTATCCTAAACCCCACGACTCTGTTACCTTTTCATTCCCGGGAGATATCTTCTGGGTAAGCCAATGCCAAGCAAGACACTCTCTTCAACATGACCCCCTTTGATGAGATATTCTGCTATTTCTTGCCTCTGCCTACGATGATCTTCGTAAATCCAAGGCGAATCCGGCGGCGGACTTGAGGACAAGATGGTCGGGTCCGCCTCTGCCTCCTCAATCAAGTACTTGACCATCTCAACGCTTGGTATGTACCCCAATATCGCAGCTGCCAAAACACTGCCATAATCTCCGCTGAGGTGCGCATTCACTTCGGCTCCTTTTGTCACGAAAAGCTTTGCACACTTCAGCGAACCCCAGTATGCGGCTCTTGCTAGAAGACTGCCGCACCAGTTTCTTTCAGTCGCCAAGTTCACATTTGCTCCGCATTTTATCAGGAGCTCTGCTGAATTAAATTTATCCTGGTAGGCAGCTGCTTCCAAGGCGCAACCAAACATGCAGCGTGGGCAGGTGATGTTGGGATCCGCTCCGGCCTCAAGAAGAGGTTCAAGCAAATCCTCTGCAGCCTGAACAGCCTGAACAGCCTGACAGAGTGGACTTGTACCGCTTCCGATAAGGTTTGGATCAGCACCCTTGTCTAGGAGCAGCTTTACCGTTTGAATTTGTCGCCCATGAATAGCTTCCATCAACGCGCTTCCCTCACCACCATCCAGCTTTTTATTTATATCGCTTCCCCGGCTAATGAGCTCAGAACAAAGTTCATCATGGCCGTACCTCGCAGCGATTGCGAGTAAATCCAGTCTCCTGCTATTGACTTGCGAGACATTAATGTCTTTATCCCACCAGCCCTTGAGCAACTTGTGGAGGCCAAGAATACAGATGCCAAAGATGGACTTCTCTGATGGCCGTATATCCCTATGGTGGTCGTGAACAAGATCATAAGTGAGGCTCATGTGTCTGCACCATGCTTGATATTGTCGGCTGGAGGATTTTTGAGGACCATTCGCTCCCAAAAAGCATTTGAGAATCTCTGATAGACCTGTCGCCTCCTGGCTCTGGTTTGGAGTGTTTTGCAGATGTTGTAACCAATATCTTCTCGCATATAATTGAAGAGGATGTCGTGGATCTAGATGATTTTCAAGATCTGGCGTCATCTTGAAGAACTCTTCAATCTCATCATCCGATTCAGGCAGTGTCCATTTCGAGTAGCAATCTATTAGAGACGAAACCAGCAGAATTGCCACATCTTCAGGAGCTTTATCTATCCAGCTCTTGTGCTGATTCTCAAAATACTCTGCAACTGATGCATGCGGAAATTTCCACACTTTCAGTTGAGTGTCTAGGACAACCAAGTGTGAGCAGATACTCTCCAAGGTTGACTCGTCGATGGGATCTGATAGATTAAGGGACTGAATGTTGCTCTCGCCGAGGGGATTCGATAGAGCAAAGGACCGGAGATTGCTCTCCAAGCGAATGGCTGTTAGAAGGAGTTTGCTTGTCAATGGCTTTCTAGCGCATAACACCCATTTGACCACCCGTTCCAACACGTCCTTTTCTTCATTCTTTGAATAGATCTCATCGTAGGCTTCTGTGAGACTTTCAGGGAGCTTTCCAAGCCGCTCACGGATGCGTTCGTTGGTTCTTAACGTTTTAAGCTGCTGCCATTGCAGGTATGCCCACCGGAACCTGTCAATTGATTAGTATGGTTCAAAGTTGCTAAAGTAATTAAAGCAACGGTCTGGTACCACACGCAACTTACATTCCATCACTTTTCTCTCCAATCGTTTTCTTAACTTGTTCCTTAACATCCACTGAAACTGACCTCCATGCACCGCCAATTTTGGTTACCTCCTCTTCAATATACTTCTCAATGTCATCCTTATTATCGGCGGTAGTAATCTCAACCAGCCTCTGCAAACCAAGGTATTCTTCAATATCAGCCTCTTTGCGGCTAGCAATGAAAACTTTGACAGTGCCTTTACCCCTGCCGACGAGACTGCAAAAAATGCGAGCAAGCGCCTCTCTAGTATCCATCTCGCATTCGTCCAGAGCGTCTAAGATCAAGATGGTCCGAGAGTAGAAGTTTATCAGCTCAAGCAAAGCCGTCTCACATTCGGCAGTACTAAAGCCTCTTTTCTCCTTCCTCGCCTTAAGGTATAAGGTATGAACTTTTTTTTCTATCATGGTTGGATGGTTTGGTACCCTAGCAAGCTGAGAAATATAACTTCTAAGGATAAACTTCGTCTGTCGACGCACAGGATCTGATCGACTGCAATAGAAGTATGCAAAACCTTCATCGTCCTCGACTTGCTGCTGACGGGTGGCAGGAAGGTGATCAATTACTTTTGAGGTAAGAAAAGACTTCCCTGCGCCAACTAAAACATAAATAAATTACAAAGGTCAGTTTATTATATTCAGGCTCTGTTATCCTTATACTAAGGCGAATAGGGCAGAATTACATACCATTGCCTTGAAGCCATAGAGTCGAAGAATGACTTGATCTTTCCCATTCAATAAATCTAGAATGATTTAATAACCATTCGCATGTCGTAGGGGTTCTTGCTTCACGTTTTTCTTGCTGATGCTCGCCGATTGGTATGTCGCTAATATATTCTAGCGCTTGTTCCAATGCACCATCCTCAATCTTCTCAAGCAGCTTCTTTACGGCATCTTCAACACTCCTCAATGGTTCATCAAGATTCTTGAGAAGCTTTTGGTGTTCTTGAGACGCAACTGCACCACAACCTTGAGCTGCCATTGATACCTTACTTTCTTGCTCCGCCAGTGCCGATACTAGCTTTGCCCCCTCTCCACCAGAGACGAGGGCGCGCAAGAACTGCTTCCCTTGCCCTTCGTTTAAGCGCGTAAAGGCGTGAGCTAAGAGCTCCATTAATGCCTTGTATAGATCAACAAGCGCATCCTGTAGATTTTGTGTTGCCGTATTATAAGAGCCGTCACTGAGGTATACCTCTTCGTATACATTGCCATGCCTAATAAGCCGTAGGACTTTTTCAGCACATCCAAAGATAGCCGTAAGGTCCTCGCATTGGGACACATTTGCCTGATCGGATATTGAACAGTTAGAGAAAAAAAATCATCATCGTGGTTATAGTCTTACCTTTAAGAGTACTTTGACAGCTGACCAGACAGCCGAGGACGGTGCTGGGGCAAAGTTGATGGAGATGTCCCCAATTGCCGTTACCCATGTCACCACCCTGTTGGCATAGTCTCTCCACATAATCTCAGAATCACCAATCCTGAGCTTCGGAGTTGCGTCCTTATACTCCTCTTCTCTTTTTCGAACGAGTGTGATGAGGTCTTGGCTCCTCGCCTCACCACTCTCGTTTTTGGACGCATCTCCGACCCATTTTTTGGTCTTGTCATCCAGCTTTTGGTAGGCCCGAGACCACAAGTCACAGCCGTTATTTTTTTCTTTTCCAATTTCAACTATCTCTCCAGTTTCTTCGATTGCGTCGGTTCGAGATTCAATAGATTGGTCGTTTATTGCACCCCTTGTTTCCTGGGATGTAACAGGTGGGATCAATGAGACTGCACTTCTAGCTGACGATACCTCGGCATCGGACACCAGGCTTGGGGATTCTCGCGTTACATCATGTTTCTTACTCTTTGGTTTCAAGTAAGAAGATAGTGCGGTGCGAAAGCGACCCATACTTATGTGGACGAACTTTCTCGAGCGATTGGCTCCTGTCAAGCGAATATCAGACGCAATGTCCGATTCACAAAATGCAAAATCACGGTGCTACCAGATGGTAGTAGTTAGAATATTTCGTAGAAAACAAGTTATACCGCCAGGCTGAGGGTCAAGTTGGGCACAAATGCGGAGATGACTGCCACGTACGCGACCCCTCCAGCCAGCTGAGCACGTTCGTGACACGGCTTAAAACGAAAGCCTATCAGAATTCAGGAACGAGATCCCTTTCACATTTGTCAATACGACTGCATAACCACTAAACAAGCAGTTCACACATGTACACTCGGGGGGCCACTGGCCAAGCCTTCAAGCGGAAGAGTCAGTCGATTTTGAGATTGCTAGAATCTATCTTAATTGAAGACGATACTATTCTGCTGAGATTAGAGACTGATACCCCCGTCCTAACTATATGTTGCTGTAGCCTTAGTAATTTCTTCTTCGACGGCAACCTAGCCTTGTCGCTATTCAAGGAGCAATATCATCGCTTCCCTGTCATTCATTTAGTTCCCAGCCACAGCCTGTCTCGGCAGCAGATGAAACCAACGCCCAACTTACATCATCCTCCAGATCTTGCATTAACTGCATCTGCATTTACTATAAACAATCTAACACCCGCCAAATACTACCTTGCATTAAAGTAAACTCCCGCCTTGAGTAATAGGGTAAAACCGGCATAGATAGAGGTTAGTATTGAGTCACATCTATCCACTAAACCTCTTGTAGGTTTTGGAGCGCTGAGCCGCACGTTATCGCCCAAGGACCAAAATGCAGCGCCGTCTGATACGCGGAAATCTGAGCTGCAGACCCTATGCTCTGTTTTCAGACCATAAGCCATTGTTTAAATCCATTGTCTCTTGGTTTTGCCTAAATGCAGTGCGAAAAAAATGGCTCTGAGTCAATATCTCTTGATTGATGTACTAGGCAACGGCTAAGCCAATCCAATAGTTATAAGCACATGCATTGCCCGGTATCGCCATGACCTCACCGCGAAGATATGTCCCTGTATCCGTAAACCATAACTGTCATATTAGGCAATGCCTAAACTAATGGTTGTATTCTTAGCTAATTGTTACATACGTTGTTCGGCCCTACGTTAACTGCAGCGGGGAAAATAACTCCGCATCAATACACCTCAACCTTTATATTACCTAGGCAGTACCCGTGCAGTTATAGGATGCACTAGCTAGGTGCGCTTTAACTTACAGTGTTAAAAAATAACTTTCTACTAGTATGCTTTTTCTATTTATCAAGGCCGACCCTAGACTAGTAGTTATAAAATAAGGATAGTCATCAATCCGGCCATCAGCGCTGCCCAAGCGAGGCGAACATGGCTGAAAGTACCCATGCCGGATGATGAGAACGCTTCAAGGTGAGGGGGATGAAAAGACGAATGAATGACAAATTGACGGGTAACCCGCACTGTTAGTTGGCTGCTTAAGGGACAAAAATGAGCGAAAAGAAGAGATTAATTAATTTGAGGCGGGAGAACATTGTGAAGAGGAGAAAGTAGAAGAAAACAATTCCCAACTCGTTGGTTGCGATGTGTCTTGTTGGCAGCGTCTTCCGAGTTGGCGCATCACATGCGGTAGGTAATTTCAACTAGATACATGTACAAAGTTCACTTCTCAGGGGTCTTTGGCTACACCAATATCCCGTATGAAAAGCACGGCTTCGCGGGAAAGACGGCACGCCAGGAACTGTTGGTTGACCCTTGTCTTATAAACTGCCGCTCTTCTGGGACTTTGGATCCCCACCGGCCGGTTCAATTGTAAACCAGATCCGCATATTAATAGCTTCTTACTGCTACGGAGGAGTATTCTGATATCACCCCAGAGCCTTGTGTTAATTGAAATAGGCCAAAAGAGTGTTTAGCAATTGAATCAATGTAGAGACCCAGCTACCTATATGAGATCAACAGCACTAGAACATCATAGTTGTATTTTTGTATACACTCTGGGTGTAGAGGCCTAGATAAACAATTGAAAAACAGCAAAGCCAACAGGAAAATGCTAAAAAAAAGAAAAGGAAAGAAAAGGAAAGAAAAGAAAAGAAAAAGAAAAGAAAAGAAAAAAGAAGAAAAAAATGCAATGCTTTTTTAATCATGAGATGAGCGCTTTCCACTACAGAACCATTTTCGGGTCTAAAAACACAGACTAGACCGCTGACCAAAAACCCAGGATCCCTTATTCTAGTGTCGATTATCGACTTCTGATATAAGTGCATGTGGCTGCATTTACTGTCACATACGACCATAGGTAGAGGAAAATTCGGGGTCCCGTCTGCTCCCCCATAGACAAGCCTCTAACCGGCAGATTAGTAGTTGAGTGGGTGACCATCAGCGAACACCGGCTGTTGTATGTTTTCTTTTTTGCTTTTTTGATGTGTTTATTGGACTTCTGACTTGCCGTTCTAGAATATCTGTTGTCTACTTGAAGGAATTTAATATTGTCTTGACTTTTGGGCTCCTGTAGGAATCTCGTATTTCAGCAAGGAGGCCTTGGGTCGAGAAAGCTGGACTGTTCCCTGCTCATCATCCTTGTGTGTATGGCCCGTTGGTTATCAGCCCAGCATTGCATTGTTCAACACGGTATAATTCTTCCAACTCTACAACTAGGGCTAAGCGGATAACAGAGGGTTTCGGGGCTCAGCGAAATCTCGGGAAATGCAATGACTCCATGTAGGGTATATAAGATCTATAAGGAAATAAAATAAAATATGCTTTTGCTCTTGACTTGGACGTTGAACGTTGCATACATAGGTACTGATTCGCAAAGGCGTCCTTGATCGAGGTAATATCAGACCAAGTCAATATAACCCCAACTCTTGCAATCGGCCGCCTTGACCATTGCTGCACTAGGTCTTCCCCAGAACCATTCCTGCAACGGATGTTGTTTCGTCACTCCTGAGGTCTGTTCAACGGTTATTTCGTCGGTAAGCATACAGGGTGATACGACCGCATATCTCCCTCGCCCATCAGAGCTCTTGCGAATAATGTATGGCAGTGTCTCGCCAGTCAATAGTATAATCTCATCTCCTTCGCGGACCGGCACAGGTGCTACCCCAACCGTCCCAGCAGCAGTAAGAAAGAAACAGTGGTCTTCGATTTCTGACACAAGCCTCTTCAAATCCTCTTCCATTGATCTGGCCTTGCGTGGCTCCGCCCGAATGCTGTACCTGCATGTGCCGTCCGCGTCGTAATCAAAGGCTTTCATGCTCTGTAATAAGCGATTCCACCCCAGGTACATGAGACTCATTCTGTCAACCATTGAGTCAAGCCGATTAAGGTATTCAGCCCCGTTGCTCATCGCTCCCAATTTCTCTATCCAGGCTTTGAAGACAGCGCAAGCCGCATGCGCGGCACAAAGGTCCTTGAAGTTATAGTCGCGCTCCCTCCCAATGGGAAACAATTTGGGAATAAAGTCGCTAATTGTGGCTGTAAGGCTATCGACTCGAAGCGCCTTAATTTGGAGCACATTTCCGTCCACGTTTTTGGCAACCAGCGCAGGCTGGTAGAGCGGTCGCCCCGTAGCCCGAATACCCCATATCCACCTGTGCTTGTGGATGGGTGTCCAAGCCGGGACCCAGGTGGGCAACTTATCGTCAATGCCGCCGTGAGAGGCAAACCGCATAAATCGAACATTGTGATGAGCGTCGAGGAGGCTACGGGCGGCGTCCGTGAAGACCTTGGCAGTTGTCTGAGAGTAGTCGGGCGTGAGCATGCCAAACGTCTCTGGGAAAAAAGCCCTCACAGCAAAGATCTTGTCAACGTCATTCGTAGCCTTCTTGCTGCAAAGCCGGCGCAGTAAGTAGTCTCCCTCATCGCTCCTTGAACCGCTGTGCAAGCGTGAGTCATGGCGACGCATGTGTAACTCACAAACTTCGGAAGAAAACGTCTCTTGCTTATATTCTTTTTCTTTAAAAAGAGTAAAAATAGGCATGGCCCGGAAAAGTATCTGGCAGTGGAGCGGCTAGGGCGATCCGCAGAGAATGAAGCAGCTTGGATTCATGTTGCTCTCTTGTATCGTCCACACTCTTTCCCAGTACGGCCTCGACTCTAGATCGGCTACTCCATCTGCAAGCATTACCTCTAGGGCTACATTCAGCATTAGCAGACGTCAGGACTAAAAGTTAGAGAGAAAAGAAAAAAAAAAGGTCAATAGAAGAGACGGGGACAAACCTTGCAAAGGCAAATAAGTAGTAGGCAAATAATTAAAATTTTCAAGTCCAAATAGAAGCACTAAAAAAACAGGTATGAACCATGTCGCAAACGAAAGATGTCTTTCTCGAGCGTGAATCGGTCGGGGAATCAAGATAGAGAATTTTACGCTCGATCCAAAGAACTGGCGCAAGAGGCAAGGTAAATAACCGGGACGACATAAATATAGAACGGCTTAACTGATTACTTTCACCAAGCCAGATATTAACTCGTGTTGCCTTCTTGTATATCTCAGCCATCATGGCCACCTGTGAATTCTTTTCAGCTATATCGTCTTGGTTGATGCAAATTGCGTCAATCCACAGGTATCGCGATTTCCCCGGTTTGAGGCGGAGCTCTTTCATGACAGCTTGGACGTTTTTAGTAATATAAAGTTTCCCTCCGCCAGTGTATACGACTTGGTCTGGTATTTGATCACCCCATGTGTATGAAAGAACTTCATAAGATGGTGGGTTTTCCAGAGAGACTGTTGCCAAATCGATGTATATCTCGTCATCTCTGTTTGCAGCGCCGTGAAGCTTGATCAGACGGATGCTTCGCTGATTAGGAAGTTTAGGAAGGGCGTTGTAAGTACGATCCATTTGACTAGCATGATGGACCATAGAATAGCGAAGGTCTGCATGTCGTTGCTCCCGTGTAATAGTCCCAAGGCGTAGGTGGTCGTAAATGGTGTAACCGAGAAAACAAGACCCGACTGCCTTTGTAAACTTTGATCTCGAGGCTCTATACAATAACCGCAGCATTGCTTGTATTCAAAATCTCAGGCGTTTGACTAACAAGCCCTGTGCGGCCTAGCCAAAAACACAAAAAATCTATTGATTAGTTTTGCATGTAGTTGAACAAGTTCAAGGTTCTTACAAAAAGCGATTATCTTCTGTTGGGCGCCATTCTGCCATTAAATATTCACGCACCCTTGATACGCCAGATCAGGCATCGTTAGGTACACTTGATATACCGGCGTTTGTATTTGGCTGAATGTCCTGCACAGGATTGGCACCCATGCTCGACCTGCGACAACATTATTCGCAGTAAAGTACCGGCTTGAGAGTGCTGAGTTTGTGTTGGCGTTCTCTCGTCCAATCGACTAGCATTTCGGTGAAGTGTGGCTTGATACCATCGTTTCCTCTCACACAACTGACCTATAGAATCTCATAGGCACAGACAGCTGCGGATAAAAAATCTGAAAGCTATCGTTTTTTCCCTTTCCTTTTTTTCCGTAAAGATATTCTATCTAGTGCCGTGGGACATTTCTGGTGTGCTGGCTATATAGATAATGGATGTTGTTCTTGTACAACTGCACTGCATATCTTTAATATAATTGCAAATGAAGTATTGAATAGTATGTCATTGCTTTTGAGGTCTCCAGAAAATTCCAGTATTCAAACCTGCAAACTCATTCATCTCATTCTGCTTGGGATATTCGTCCTCCATGGGCTGAAAAGGGGACGCATAGTTGAAATAGATCAAATGCAACGTAGTATATAAACCAATTATTCTTCTTGTACTATCACATACGACCATAGGTAGAGGAGAATTCGGGGTCCCGTCTAGTTCTTTACTGCAGTTCAATGTCTTCTGTTTCTTGCGCCCCTGGGTTCTAAAATTGGAGCCACACGTCTCCGTTTTCCGAGGCCCTTGAACTTGCATAATAGCGCTAAACGAAATTAAAAATTCCGTTTTATCATGTGATTTGGTTTCAAAACGGGCTTTGGCTACCGGCTTTCTCTTATTATTTCAAGCTAAACCAATACCAGGATGAAGGGTGTATAAGAAAATGCCTCATACTGGAGACATTCCTATATGTGGAGCATGACTCTGCGACTGCTACGAAGTATGTGGGGCCCCTACGCTGCTTACATACACGTATGCCTTAAAATTTATCCTGGCCAGTGACGTGGACAACTGTTTCTGCCCAAATCCGTCAGGCAACGAGCAGCGCTTCATGCTCCTGCGGTCGAGTCTGCAGGATTCCGAGTCCGACTTCGCAAGCCTAACAAATTTCAAATATTTATTTATAATACGTATTATATAACGCCTTACTCTTATATTTGTAGACTCATACGGAGGTCGCTACCAAAAGTCCTGTCTCACCGCCTATTTTTCTACCAGTAGAATCCATACATAGGGAAATTAGGCCGCATTCCACCCTAACAATAATAAAACAACGCCAAAGGTTACTACTGCTGTTAAAATAGCTTTAACTTCTTCAACCTATTCAATTTCTTTAACCTATTTAATTTTAACTTATAGTCCTTTACAATATAGTAACGCAGGCCCAGGCCTTAGCGTTAAAGCTAACCAACATCTTTAATAATTAAATTTATTAACTAACTAAGATTTATCTTAAAACTGTAAATTTAATCTTAGACTAGGCTGTTAAACGAAGCCTTAATTTAGTAAAGCTAATAATCTTAGATATTTATATATAAAATACTGCTAAGTTTAGCTGGCCTTAAAAGTAAGCTATAGTTAAAGATTATATAGTTAAAAAAAATATAGCGCAATCGTTACAGTAGGGAAAAGAACTGTATTTTAATTTTAAATAAATTAAGCGGCTTAATCTCCTTAATAACTATATAGTAAGTCCTTTAATTTAATAGCCTTTAAAAAATAAAGTTAATAAAAAAGCTAGGCCTAACAGTTATAATAAAGAAATAATAATTAAAATAGTACTTTATATATAAAAACTAAATCTTAAATAATTAAAAAAAGGTTATTTAGTTTAATAAAACTACTATTATACTATTATATTAATAAAAAAGCTATTAAGTTTAGTGTTTTTTAATAAAGTATATAATATACTTTTATATTTATAAAATAAAAAAAATATATTAAATTTTAGTTTTAAAGTTATTTTTTTTATAATAAAAAAAGCTTTTATTATATTTAAAAGCCTAAAACTATTAAAAAATAAGCTAATAGTAAAAAAGTAATTTAAAAAATAAATAAAAAAATTAAACTTTTAATAAAAAAAATATAAAAAGTTATAAATAATATATATTACTTAGCACTTTATAATAAGCCCAGCTTTAAGTTAGTTTAAAAGTTTACTATAAAAATAAAAAAGCTTTTTTATAATAGCAGTAGTAGTATTAATTAATAATATTACTAATAATAAATTATTATCCTTAAAATTATTTTATTTATAAAAAAACTTAGTTTTAATACTTTAATATAAGAAAATAATATTTTATTATATAGGTATTATATATAAAAGATAGTCTATAGTAAATATAAAGTTTAGTAAATATATTAATATTTAAACTTATTTAACTTTAATATAATTAAGCTAATGTAGCTATATATAAAAAAAAATACTATAAAGTGTAATATATTAAAGTTATTAACCTAAGCTTATTAAGCTTAGCTAGGTTATTAAAATAAAATACCTTAAACAAAGATATAGGCTTAAATTAAACAAATCCCTTATTATATACAAAAGGTTATTTAGCTAAAAGGTAAAAATAATTATATAAAAGGAAGGAAAAAAGACTATTGGCTAAAAGCTAGCGTTGTAATTAACCTAAATTAAATTTTCTATATCTTATAGTATTATTTTTATTATTTTCCGATAACAACAGGGGTCTAGGCGGTAAGACAGGACTTTTAGTAGCGACCTCCGTACAGACCCAATCTAATTGTGGCGGCGCAACCTGCCTGATTAAAATAGATAAATATTCCCTTATTTAGGCGAGAGTCACGTTATATGAAGTATAAGTGCGAATACTAAATGTGGCGGCGATTATAGTACAGTATGCGTAATTGGATTATAAGATCTGTCTAATTCTGTGGCTTAGGGGGTACTGCTACATTACTTAACAGGACCTTCAAATTAATAACTAAGCTAGGCTGCCACCAACCGGCTTAAGGCATTTCCGTACAATCTCGCGCCTCTGGAACTATCCTGTACTTAACAAGCAGGGAATTAATAAAGATGCTGACTCTTTATAATGGCGCAGGCAGATGTGGTTGCATTTAATATTGGGGCGTTCGTCTCAACACTCTTTCTCCTTGAATTCGGTGCCGATAAATTTATCGCTTATACAGCTGTTGTCGCAGGCCGTATAGGCGTGTCTGAGGTAATCATTGGACTCCTTACAGTAGGCGCAGAATGGGAAGAGGTAAGTATTAATACATTTTATTTAGAATATTTGCTAATATAACTAGCTCGCGGTTGTTATCGCGTCTCTGGCGCAGGGCCGATCATCATTAGCCATTGGTAATGTCATTGGCGCCGCCATCTCCAACATCTTAGGCGTATTCTCCCTCGGCCTGCTGTGCTATGAGAGGGGAAAGACAGTTGAATTCGACAGGAGCTCCCGGATTTACTCTCTTATGACTCTTGTCCTAACTACGTTAGTGACTGCAATTATTTATTTTTCGACGAGAATCACCTGGTTGATTTGCGGACGGTTGGTGGCAGCCTAGCTTAGTTATTAATTTGAAGGTCCTGTTAAGTAATGTAGCAGTACCCCCCAAGCCACAGAATTAGACGGATTTTACAATCCAATTATGCATACCATATATCGCCGCCACATTTAGTATTCGCACTTGGATTAATTACAATTACAGTAGAGTAGGCTCGCCCTTATTTGGAGGATTTGAGCATTTGCATTGGGGTAAATATGAACTTAGGCCTGGCTTAGACCTATGAAAGTCTGATTCAACTAACGATACTTCAGAATTTATGATTTATAGGCAAAGCCTGGACCTGGGGCTATTAAACTATTTTAACAAGAGTTACTTACTTACGGATTTATGTATACTTAGCTATCAAAAATTAAGCAGTCTAACTCCATAGTACCAGGTTAGTTACCCAGTAACTACCCTCCTCACTCTAATTACCCTCAAGTGCAACCTTAAAGGTGAGTTTATAACGGCGAGGCTCACCCAGTTTACCCTATTGGCCAGGGTTGGTGAGCCGAGAAAGCCCCGTGTGCAAATCTGTCGAGATGGCAAGGCAGACGAAGAAATGCCTGCCGAGTAAACTGCCGAGCTATCTGATAAGTTTGTCATTTGAAAACATTGAAGACAAAATATGTGCATAAATACGGCGTACATGGTTAATAAATGAGAACACTCCCTGGCCTATTAAGCTTTCCTCCTCCTACAGTGTTACTAACGGTGTGGTGGGAAGGTGGTCGTCCGACTTACATTATAATGCGTGCTGCGTTGTGATAATTTTGGGTCGTCGCTGATCATCTACAACGCTCATATTGCGAGGAACAAAATGTTTCAAATTGCTTCGGAAGAACAAGCCGAATAAGTGACTAATTATCCGCGGGTCGGGTTCGGCGAGAGTTAACTTTTTGCAATGCCGCCCGCGGCATAACGCGCACAATAGGGCATTGTGGTCCGCGGCAATCCGGATGACTAGTCTGTCAAAGGGCTAGCTTTGCTAAAAGTGATATCATCTCAGTTTCTGCCAGCGAACTAACCTTTCCTCGAAATTCAGTCAGTCCCTCTAGAGCCTTGGGTATAAAGGCGCCGTAAAAAATGCCGTTTCAAATATGTGACTAGCCTAGATACCAATTCGTACCGAAGGTTTTAAGAAATTCGCTCGGCATATTCCCCCCATTAATCATTTTGTTGAACCCACGATGCCCTCGGCAGCAAATACCCAGCCCGTTTCTGCCACACTGAAAAGATTGAAATCCCTTTCCAAAGATTCGGCGTCGTTACCTGAGGTTGGACATACAGGTTTCGCCGCCCATCTTCGAGAATCAATGGACGAAGAACAATCTAAGCTACTGTGTTTTAAAGAAATATATGCAAGGGTTGGGTATTATACGTTTCCAAAAAATGGCCGTGCAGCATCCCATAATGATGGCACACTTTGCAAGTCATTCGTATACCTCGGTTCACTAATATTCCTTTAAGAGAGATGTAAAATCCTTTACTTGGAATCTAACTATTCTAACAACCTTGCAGACGATTTTTACGTGCACGAGAATTCAATACGAGCAAAGCTGTGACGTCCTGATCCCTATTCCTAGTATAGGGTAAGGGTTCCCAAGGTAATAAGCCTAGGTCGTAGGTTTATGTTGGCAGAGAGGACAGGGAGTAGCTTTTGAGCGGTTATAATCACAAGTGCGTAAGAGTAGAATAGAAGGTGTAGCTTGTATTCAGTCTTGATACTTTGTTAACGACTGGCTATCTAAACTATCTGAATGAACGTAATGAAGTGAACTTATATATCCAGTCGTTCCTTTTGGGAGCGATATAGTCCATCGCTCCATCGTAGTATGGAGCGCTCGTGTAAGTCGCTCCAAGTCCGGGAGCGCTGCGCTCCGTCGCTCCTATCCCTGATTGGTCCTTCGGTCCGTGATATTTTCCGGGTACGTACTTCTTGGGGTCGCATAAGAGGTTGGGTCGTGACAAAAGCGTTCGATTTGTTCAGCCTCATCGAAGACTGAAGAATAGAGCATTCTATCAAGGAGTTTTACTCCCACATGGACGTAGATCACTACGAGGAGTCCAGACAGATGGTTTGTATTGACCCTTCTTATGATGTTGGCTGATCCCTCTTAACGAGATAATCGTTCCTGATACTAATTCTTCAATCTTTTGCTAGTTTGCGCAATGAACGGCCGCCGTGATTACCAGGGCCTTCCAGTCTATGTTTTTCCAGTTAACCACTTTACTAAGGAGAGGATGGATACCTATATATCCAAGTTCTCTTCATCTATTACAGGAGAAACGCATCACACAGAACTTCCGGGCCATATTCTTAACTTCCACGCCTTGTATGAAAATTTACTAGACTTTGTGATGCCCCTTCGCTCCCAGCTGCCGCGGCCAAATATGGACGTTTCTGTTTCTGCTAAAACGCATATAATCGATATCACAGACGCGGATTTTGGCCATTTCTGGAAGATCAGGCGATACTTGCGAGAGGCCAGCTCCCTAGCAACAGCATATTATCCTGAGACCCTTGGTCGCATATTTGTATGACATTTCTGCTCCTTCTGGTCAAGATTTCTTACTCTCCTCTTTTTAGGTTATTCAAGCTATAGAGCTAATACTATGAGGTATCACGTCTGGAGAGGTCTGGTGAAGTCGGACATCTAGGTCACTATAGCAAGGGACCAGGAGATGTATGAAAGATGACTTGCTCCTATCTAACCTCTGTGGAGGTAACTACCTAATATATATACCTATATATTAGGTATCGGAGGTCATGTGACCTCACAAATACCGTGCTTTATTTAGATTGTCGGATCTTGTCCGTCTTTTATAAAAGCCTGGGCGATCGCAAAAAATTGGTTCGACCGAAACATCCTCGCTAAAATATACGTCTTGTCGCCACGCGACGCAACATCAACACTATTAACTTACATGCATAATTCGAGCTTACCTGAAGAGTATGGCGGTACTCTTAGATGGAAATGGGGAGATATGCCAGATTTAGACGAACCAGCGAGGCTGATCGCGTCAAGCTTATATCAGTCCGATGAGAAGGGACAGAAAAGCTTCATCAAGGGGCCCGTTGCATTCTGCGACGGTAGAGTGCAAGTTTTGGGCATGGCCAATGGAAGGCCAAGGGAATATGTTACCTGCTGAGCTATATATTTGTGCACCAAGCCTACCAGGGATACGCATCGACACAGACCATTCCTAGGATAAGTATTTACAAATATGGTAATAACTAATCATGAATTCTGATAATAATGCCCTTTTATCAAGGGACAATAGTCATTCATTATGTTTGGTAATTGTGATAATTAGTTATAGCAAGGTAGAGAGATAACCCATTCATGATCAAGCTGGAATCGAGTAAATGTGGAAGATAATTTGTATATTAAGCTGCTCATACTTGATTTAGCGATTCGAAGAATTCGAAAAGCGAAGCTTCGTCTATAAGCTCGTTAACAAGATTATCAGTTATCGCAATATCTAGTCCTGGGTCATCGAGCGTATATGTACTGCCAGTTGTCAAATCTGGAGCAATAGGACCAGCAGTTGCGCCGGTCGCAGAATTAGATGCGTTGGTTCTTGGTGAATAATTGGGAAACAATTGTTGTATGGCTTTCGTGAAAACTCCACGATATAGAGAAGCCGTTGTGTATGTCCTCTGAAACTCTTCCATGACTAACATGCATACGTCGAGTTTGAGAAACCCGAGGCGCTGAGAGAGAGGGTCATCCGATTTACAATCCAGTAAGTGTGTCTGCATAGCAGGAACCAAAAGTGGAGGACTGTTCAAACAGAGGCATTAATACAAGCGTGAAGATATGCGAAGCCACGGTCATTGGGAACAGCGCTAGACGGCAGCCAAGTTCTCGAGGTACTCACGTCATAGGGCCGGCAAACGCAAGAAGTTTGCCCTGAACAAGCGCATCGAGAACCGCGTTGCTCTGCGATGCTGCGAGGCTGGCTTTAAGTCGCATCTGATGCTGCCAGTCCGCTTGGCGAGAGATATCGAGGTCATTAGGGACTGCTGATGCATAGGGACGATGAAATGCTATTAGAAGGGCCCTGCCAAAGTGAAATTAATGTATGATTTATTTATTGGGACAGGGAAGTATTAACTGGTAATGTAACTGGAGATGAAGCCAGTAAAAGGTCGCTGATGGCGTCGGATCATGATTAGATTGGTCTGGCAGCTTATATTGCAGAAGTTCTGCCTCGAGGCTCTCAATCTGACAGATTGACGGTTTGGAACCTAGTGTCTGGTAATTCATGTTGATAACGGTGCCGAGGAGCTTACTTAGTTCGATTAGTGAAATCCAATACTTTGCTTGAAGCGCTAAATCCTTCGGCAGGTAAGCAGCGGATATTGATTGGTGTATGCCATCGACGTCGCTGAGCAGATCATCAGCTGATGGCATGGGTGTATCACAATTTTTGAGGTTGATCCGTAATGGCCTCCCAAGAGTTAGGCTAAGCCAAGAATCTCGAAAGAAACAGCTCCACCACAGACGACGCCATAGATGTCGTTGTCGATCAGTGATGGATGAATTGCGTTTTGAGGAGTCTGGGTCACGGTGTAAACCGAGCACCTGGCAAAGACTAATAGCAATACCCGTCCAATACCACGGCTGCATATGTTCGTCCCTATCCGAGTGCCAGCATCCCAATAGGAGCGAGGATTGCAAGAGAACAATTTTATCTCTCTCCCCGCCAATGCTGTACATGCACTGGTATTGCAGAGCGGGTCAGCAGAGTGTAGTAGAGGAGGTGCGGTTTTATTGCCCGCAACAAAAGTTACCTACTCTTGCGCGAGAATACATGGTAGCTTTCATCTCCTTCCGGGATGTATACCCTTCCTGTTCGCAGATGTGTGCTGGAATAAACTGAAATGTCTGCTTAGTTGAACGTAAATTGACTAGATCTTTGGGTGGGCTTACGTTTACTGCAACAAGAAACATACTCCATAGAAGTAAGACATTATATTCGTGAAGTTTACCAGCTTGGTGATACGTTAAAACAACGTCGGCCTCTATGATAGGCAAAATTGGATGAGCATGATTAAAGTAAGCACGAAGGAGGCTATCACAGGTTTCTTTGCCAGGCAACGTATATACGCCCTTGAGTCGAAGATAGTTTCGATCCTCGTCAGGCAGGGATCTCGATACATGTGACGGAATGAGGAAGTGTTTTGACAATGACTGATTGGACATGCAGATATCCAGGGCGGACGTAATCCCAGTGTGTTCTCCTGAATAGAATGTTAGCTTCTGTATTGCTCCGTTTGGTATCTTTATTGCGTTATTCACCGGTATAGAAAGGTACCTGTCCGACTGCTTGAGGTCTTCCTAAAGCAGCATCTGCAATTTCGAGCCCGCTGCGCTCTTCGTCGTTAATATTGTTCCCTCCGAGAGCAAGGGGCGTTCCTCCAGGAATGTTATCAGATGTAGCCTGAAATTCATTTGCATCAAATGTATCGTGACTACTTCTTGAGCCAGCAGTCGAAGACTGATGGGACAGGTTGGTGAAATCGCCATTTGAGACAGGAATGTCCGACGGCCGCTGACAAAGACGGGGAAGTATTGGCGGGCGAGTCCGATGGGATCTTAGACACAGCTACCATTAGCAACATGGTATATAATTATCTTCTATATGGAATTCCCCTCACTTTTCACCTTTCCTTGGATCCACGACACAATCGGTCTGATCCTGAGCACAACCGGCGCACGGTACTCCAGTTACGGGAAGACTGCAACGTACTTTGCGTCGACGGCAGGCCTGGCATGCAACTGTAGACCGCTGGCGACGGGCTGGCATCTTAAGGGGGCTGGGCGGCATGATGTTGTTGGAGAAATGGCGCTCTGCCCTTGGTTGAACTTCCGAGGATCGAAGAAGCCTATGGCGGTTCGGCGAGGTCCATTGGAACGCTCCCTATTGGCTATACATTACCGGCTAACCGCGGAAGTCGGAATCGATGAGGGAATGCCGATGACGTATAGACATCTTCCAAGGATTGAATTGATATTAGTCAAGCCAGAAGGTCAAGTGATCGAGCTTGACAACGTTGAGAAATATGTCCGAATAAATGAAACTGAACCACTGAAAGGCATAGATTCCTTGAGCATTGTCTGATAAACGAGACAGTAGTAGGGCCTTACTTATGCTAGTTACACTCATGGTATTACCTACGAAGCCCTTCAATGGCCCACTCCTAACTACTCCTTGGCTCCAAAAGCAAATACCTTGTGGAAGCAAAATGGCACCGGAGGGCTGGCCCAGTGGAACTGGCTTGCCGGATCCTCGGGGTACTTAACCACGGGCGCTAAGATACGCAAGTCTTTCCTATATACTATCTGCAAAGTGGACGTAAAAGTCCTCCTCCCCTGTTAGTAAGTAGGGATTTTTCTCAGTATACTGGTCCTATGCCGCTACGACTCGGTAGTATAGCTTAACGATAAATAAGTTAGGGGTAATACGTCTATATCCAAACCTTTTCTCTATGCGCTCTACTACGTCCCTCTAGTATAACCCTACCTACAGCTCTAGCGTTATAGCTTAGTATGCGGTTAGACTGGCGCAACCCCCCTAGGAGCCCCCTAGCCTGGCCCGGTCCTGAAGTTATAACGTCCTGATCCCTATTCCTAATATAGGGTAAGGGTTCCTAAGGTAATAAGCCTAAGTTATAGGTTTATATTAGCAAAAAGGATAAAAAGTAGTTTTTAAGCAGCTGCAATTATAAATATATAAAAGTAAAATAAAAAATATAGCTTATATTTAATTTTAATTTTTTTTAAAATCTTAAATAATTTAATTTTTTTAAAGTTTAATTTATTACTTAATTAGTTTATTTTAATATTTAATATTTTATAACTTTAAAAATATTAAATTAAATAAATTATTTTTTTTAATTTTATGTTAATTAATATAATATTTTATATATTTTTATATTAATCTAAGTAAAATATATAGGTTTTTATTTAAGTTAATTATAAATTTAATTTATATTTATATTTTATTAATATTAAATCTTTTTTTTAAGATTTTATATATAAATAATATAAATTTATAAAAAATATAAAAATAAATTAATTTAGTAAATTTTAATTTAAAACTATTATAATATAATTATATAATAAATAGTTTTTTTAATTAATTATTTTATTTTAAATTAATATAATATTATAAATATAATTTTATAATTTAATTTATTTTTTTAATTTATTTATATTTATAAATAATAAATAAAATTAAGTTTATTATTTATTTTAAATTTTATTATTAATTTTTATTAAAATTTAAAAATAAAAATCTTTTTATTTAAAATATTTTTTTTTAATAATTTATAATTAATAGTTATTATTATTTTTATATAAATATTATAATAGGATACTGCTAATAACAGCCAGTTAGGTAAGTAAAAGTATATTAGTGTACTAAAGCTTAAGGAGCTAAGTAGTTGTGTTTAAAGTAGAGTTTATAAAGAGAACCTGGCGAAGCCCTGCTGATTATGTGGCTTAACCTTTGCTATCGATAAGTAAAGTGCTGAGGTTATTAGTGCGGCAAAACCTTATTATAAATATATATAAAGTTTTTTATTATATATAATTTTTTATATAATAGAAAATATATTTACTTTATAAATTTATTTATTATTGTAAAAATATTATTATAAATAATTTTTATAAAAAGTTTTTATAATAATAATAAGTTTATAATATAATTAAAAATAATAATTTTTTAAAATAGTTTTAAAATTAATAAAAGTTATAGTATTTTATATAATTTATATAATTTATATTTTATTTATTAATAATTATTATATATTAATATAATATTAACTATTATTTTTTTAATTTTTTAAAATAAATATATTATATATATTTATTAATTTATAATTATAATTTTTTAATATTTAAATTAAAAATATTTATAAATATATTTTATAACTTTCTTTTATAAATTTAATAATATTTAATATTTTATTTTAATTATTAATTATCTTTTTTTAAATATAATTTATAAAAAAAAATTATTTTTAATATATTTTTTAATATATTTTTTAATTTTTTTTTAAAATATTTTATTATATTTTTTAATTTAATATATTATATATAATTTCTTTTATTTTAAGTTTTTTTATTTATTTTTTTAAAAGATTTTTATTAAAGGATTTAAAATTTTTTAAAAATAATTAAGTTTATAATTTAAAGTATTAATATAATTTTTTTTTATTTTTTTTATAATATATTAATTTATAATTATAATTAAATAAAATATTAAAATATTTTAATTAATATTTAAATAATTTTTAAATAATAGTAAAAAATATAATATTTTTATAATTAATATAAATTTTAATTTTATATTTATTTCTTTAATAATAATAACTTTATTTATTTATATAGTTTTTAATTTTTAAAATGTTTTTATTATAAATAAAATAATATATTTTAATATTATTTAATTTTTTAAAGTAAAAAACTATAAAATAAAGTTTTTTATTATTATCAAATTAATTTATTACTTTTTTAATTATATATTTTAATATATTTATTTTAATAATAATAAGTTTATTAAAGTTATATATTATTAAAATAAATATTAAAGTTATTATATTTTTTAATATTTAAAATATTTATTTTTATTTTTTAATAAATTTAAATTTTTTTTTTATTTTAATTAAAAAAATAATTATTTTAAAAAATTTTTTAATAAATTATTAATAATAATATATAGATTTAAAAAAAGCTTTATATTTTTTTAATAAAGTTAAAAAGCTTTTATTTTTAAATTATAATAATTTTTTTAAAATTTATTTTAACTTTTTTAAAAATTATAATATACTTCAGAAATTTACTTTTTTATAAATAAAACTTATATTTTTTTAAATTAATAAATAAATTATTTTTTTATAATATTTATAAA